ATTTCGTTTTTTTGAACTGGAAAACTGTCATTAGAATTTGAGTAGAAAATGTCTATAAAATTGCAATAAGCAGAGTTCGCACTTTCTAGGTTAGAATCTAGGTACCTTTTCCTAATTCTACGTCGATAAAAGGTACTTAAGTTTTTTAGTAGAACAATTGATTTTATTTTATTTGCGGTTTTAAAAATATTCAAACGCAGCGTTTTAAAGTCTATTGTTTTATTACCCCATATTGATTAGAACAAAAAATCAATTTTTTTTTTTTGCAAAGAATAAAATTGGTCGCCAAATTTAAAAACTCTTCACAACAAATATTATCAAATATAACGATTCCATACTTACCAGCTTTTCGTTTGACTTTCTCGCAATGTTTTGTACGATGTGCACTTGTTTCTTTTGTCTTCATTTATAAATAATCCTCTGTGCCTCTTAGTTTTTTTGAATTATTAAGAATTTATATTTTATTTGAAAAGCTTAGTAATCTAAAAATTATTGTTCTTGGTAGTTTGGTTTCTTTTAGATTTCCTATGCGATATGCTCTTTCAATTTCAATGTCGCCTGATATACCAAGTTTATTTTTAATAATTTCTTTTACTAAGTTTCTGCAATCATCCTTGCATACATCTTTTATTTCATTTTATCTTTTATTTTATTTTTGCGTTTATCTATTATTATATTTATTATTTTTACTTTTATTTATTATTTTATTCTATAATCTTATTATTTAAACTGTCAATTCTTAGGTAAAAGTTTTCCGCTTTATAATTGATAAAAAGTTTTGTTTTTTTCATTAAGAAACTTACTTGTTTTTAAAAGTATATAAGTTTTAGGTTCTTTAAGTTTTCTGTTTATCAATTTTTCAATGTTTTTTAGTGTTAAACCCATTTTTAAAGTTAGTTTATTAATAAACTAAAAAAAAAATCTGTTTGCCTTTAAAACTGCGTTGAAAAAAGGTTTTGGCCAAGCGTTTTGAAAATACGCCTGATGTAAATAAAATATATTTTTAGGGAAAGTATATATATATATATATATATATATATATATATATATTATATATATATATATATATATATATATATATATATATATATATATATATATATATATATATATATATATATATATATATATATATATATATATATATATATATATATATATATATATATATATATATATATATATATATATATATATATATAAATCTTATAAAAACTAAATGAGACTAATGAGAGTGAGGTGGGATTATGCGCAGTAGGCCAGAGAGTGGACAAAATTGTTTTTTTTTCCATTGTGATAATCTAAGAAGCATAAATACTCGTAGAGGTGCGTTTCCATTCGTCCGTTTTTTCACGGGAACGGGATAGGGAAGGCACGTGAGCATGCGTAGTTTTTCTTTGACATATTAAAACTTATACTACGCATGCCCACGTGATTATTTTTCCCGTCCCTTTCCCGTTCTCTTGAAAAAACGGATGAGTGGAAACTCGCCTTAGGGAATATACCGTACATATTTCAAATAAACACTGCAACTTGCGAAAAAAGGTAAGCGAAAGATACTATGAATCAAAATGAGGTTTTGATTTTTTTTAAAAACGAATACTGACTTAAGCAGAAATGTAGTTTCTTTCATAGTACCTTTCGCTCACCGCGAAAAAAGGCTTGTTGCTATGCAAAATTAGGTATCCATGACAACTAAATAAAATATCACCTTTACAATAAGCCTAAAAATACAAGATTTTTATCTTATTTCCATAAGTTATCATAACTTATGAATAAAAAAATAATTTCCTTATGGCATAAGGAAATTATTTTTTTTGTTCTATCAAAATTTAAAAATATTCAATTATATTACTTACTGCTCTGTAATAGAAATAAGTTGACTCTGTAATACACAAAGTTGATAAAATAAGCTCTGTAATATAAATAAGTTAACAGTTTTTTTCGACTGTTTGGAAAATGTTGCTTAAAAAGGCAGTGAGTGTTGATAACATTTTAGCTGCTTTTTGGCAAAATAACGCGACTGAATATAGTGATAATGAAATTAGTGATTCAAAGACAGGACCTTATATAAAATTTTGTGATGATAATGACATCGTTGACACCATGGTGTCATATCCAGCATCAGACAGACTCTACCATAAAGCCAAACCCTGCGATAGACTGAGCCCATTTTTTGAATTGGTAAGTGTGATTTTTCTTTATATATTCTGTTTCTTTCTGACTATGTTAGTTATATATATGTAATTGCTAAAAGTCTTGTTTTCTACTTGAATGAAAGACTTTATGCTGCTAATAATAACGATTTTAATGCATGTTTACAACCAACTAATACAAATAGATATATTGAATTTTGAGAACTGATAAAACATTTAGTGACAGTTAGAGGCATTTAATTATAATTCAAACAATTTAAAAATTGAAATTATGATTATAAAATTATATTAACTTTATTTATTTCCAGGATCAACTCAATACAGATGAAGATGTTGGTGATGTTGAAGAAAATGAAGCTGTTAAAAATGAAGCTCTTTTTTCGTCTAAATTTTGAATTGGATTGGTTTTGCCGAATTTCGCGGTATCTTCATCTTGTTGATAACAACACACATCAAATGGATGAATTTTCTTCAAAACTTTGGAAGTTAGGTCAATTAATTGAGGTGTTGAATGATAAATTCCAAACCACCTACTATCCTTCAAGGCAATTCTCTGTTGATGAAAAAATGATAGGTACTAAGAGTCAAGTAAGTTTTATCCAAATATGCCAAAAAAGACAAATAAATTTGGAATTAAAGTTTGGGCCCTGTTTAAAGCAGTAACAGGGTATTGCTTGCAGTTTCAGATATACGCAGGGAAAAAAAGACCCTGGTCAAGAACATGGGCTAAGGCATAGAGTTGTGTTTGACCTACTTTATCCCTATCTTAATAAAAATTTTCATGTATATTGTATCATATATTTATTTGGAACAATTTAAGTAATTGTGGAAAGTTCCCAAATAAATTTACTGCAACAATCAAAAAGGGTGAAGTGAATTTCCTGGAATATAATAACATTGGTTCTGTTTATTGAAAGGACAAGCAGAATGTTTATGCTATGTCGTCCACTCATGGCACCTCTTTGCAAGCTATTAACTTTTGTGGAAATCAACAGTCTGTTAAGAAACATGACATAATATGTCAATATAATTTATTTATGAATGGAATCGATAGATATGACTACCTTTTTTTTTTAGACTTTTATAATTGTGTGTTGTGAACACTAAACTAATATACTTAATTATCATAAAGCTTTTCAAATCAAGCAAATACATTTGCTGGTTGAAGATTATCTTAATAATTTGGAAGGAAATCAACCACCAAGGGTAGAAAACCTATTTCTATTAATGTCAGAATGAAAGAAAAATAATTTTCTGTTAGCCGTCACCCTCAGCAACAAAGATGCAGTGTGTACCAAAAAAATTATTTTGGGAAATTGAAAGATACAAAAACTTCATTTTTGTGTGAAAAAAGCAATATGTTTATTTGCAAAAACTGTTTTAAAGATTTTCATATGCAAAGTTATGTATAGAATGCTATTTTTATTTATTTATATTTTGTTTATATTAGTTTATAGTTTCTGATATCTTAAAGATTTTTATGGGTGTGAGCACTGTATTTGCATCAATTTTTTTTTGCAGAATGCATTTCTGACAGTTTCAAGTCTTTGTTAGCATTTCTTTTAACTTTAAATTGTTTTTAAGTCTGATTTTTGTTTAAAAACTTTTTTTTCCCCCTAAAGTCACATGATGTTTATGTCCGCTATCATTGATAATTTAATTTTTTTTTAAAGATATATAATGCATGTCTATTTAACATTTTAAAAAAGTATATAGTTTTAGCATGCAAATATGATGCCTTATTTACCATAAAACTAATGTTTGGTATTATATTTAGTTCAATTTTTTAGTGAATTTCTGAAAAATATGGTCCTGGCTAATTTGTTGATAATTTTTGATATCTTAATGATTTTTAAGTATTTGAGCACTCTATTTGTATCTATTTTTCTTACAGAATTCACCTCTGGTAGTTTTAAGTCATGGTTAGAATTTTTTTTAACTTTTTGAAGCAATAAAATTAGACTTGTAAATTTCTAGGGGGAAAAAAAAATTGCTGAAGTCACATGATCTTTGTGTCCGCTATCATTGGTATTTCTTTTTTTTAAAAAAAAAAGAGGCAATATATCTATTTATTTATCTTTTAGAAAATATATAGTTATAGGGTGTAAATATGATGCCTTTTATCCCTAATATATCATTTTCAGTAAGCATGTTTATTTTTACTGTTAATAAGTAATAAATATAGGTGCAAGCGAGTTTAAGTTGGTTATTTCAAACATTTAAAAACCTTCCTACGCCACACACACACACTTACACACACACACACACACACACATATATTTATATATATATATATATATATATATATATATATATATATATATATATATATATATATATATATATATATATATATATATATGTATATATATATATGTATATATATATATATATATATATATATATATATATATATATATATATATGTATATATATATATATATATATATATATATATATATATATATATATATATATATATATATATATATATATATATATATATATATATACATATATTAAATAAATATAAATATATAATTTTAAAGTTTATTACAAAACAAATTTCTAACCTTCTAAGTTTCATCTGGTGGATAGTTTATTTTAACATTTTATCAAGTCTACAATTATCTCTAGAAGATCTAGTTTGTAATTTTCTGTAAAATTCTATGTTTTAATTTTTAATTTTTAAATACTTATTCCAAGCGTTTTTAATCAAAACAAATTTTGCAAATATGTAGTAAAAAACATTTATCATTAATAATAGCATTTAAATAAAATATACTCTTGTGTTATTACATAGGCCATATTTGAAATTTATAAATGTGTATTTTCTTATTCTAGGTTTATTTGGGACACCACTTAACCATCTTAAAGGTATAATTTTTTTTTGTAGGGATTCAATTGTCTGTGTTTACTCGTGAAATAAGCGCATTGCAAGAAAATTAAGTTCTGCACTGCATATTTTACATATAACTCGTAATCTCCTAATTCGTTTATTAAAACTTTCAGAAAGTTTAGTAAATTTTATAAATTTTTCATACATTTTTGATTTAAAGCAATTGGAAGCATTTGAACAAATAATAAATATATAGTGAGTTATACAATTCTAATATTTAAAATTATTCTTTGTTTTATAAATTGTAGCTTTTAAAAGAGACTTCTGTGATGGAAGAAATGATGGAAATTATTCTATACCCGATGTATTTAAATACATACATTGCAAAGGTGGTGTGTCAAATACTATGTCATGTCAAGATAACTTTATATTTTCACCAGGTGTAAGTTGTTGTGTTAATATATCGACTCAATCTCCAAAAACTTTTTGTGAAGATCGACAAAATGGTGATTATACTGATCCCTGGAATTGCCATAAATTTTTTAAATGCAATGAAGGATATTCTTATCTATTTGATTGTCAATTGAGCAACCTGGTTTTCAATCCATATACTGACCAGTGTATGTATGAAAATGAATACCCTTGTCATCAAGTATCAGGTATTGCTTTTTTTTTTTATTTCAATGTTTTGGACGGGTCTATAATGCCATTTTTTTTTATTTAAATAACATTACTGAAGAGTTAAAGCAACTTTTACAATTGCATGAAATTTCTAGCTCAACATATTTTGCATCAATGGACTGACTCTTTTTATTGTGATATTACCTCTAAGTGAGTTACCATCCAAGATTTACAAGTTCCTTCTTCCCTTAACTACAATTTAATTGGGGATTTTATATCAGAATTTTAAATCTCTTATTTAAGTTGCCTATATAAATTTTTATGAACAAAATGTGTAAGAGTTAAAATGTTAAAACAACATTTACCATTTAGTTCATAAAAGACTTATTGATTCTTTTGTTGCATTGAACATTTGTTGCAAAAAAAAAATTCTTAATTAATCCTTTGTATCTCTAAAGAATAGTGTAACTAGTTTTTTGGTTTATTCTTTTTTTGCTAATATTTTAAGGGAAAATGACTATATGTAGTTAAAGCATGTTTAGCAAGTATTAAAACTATTTTAAATAAAACAAAAACATTTGTATTTTAAAAAATGCTCCACATTTTTTGTTACAAAAATCACTGTAAAATTGTCTAAGTTCGATCAGCTAATCTTTGAACATTCATACTTCCCAGCAAGTATAAATGTTGAAGCAATCTTAAAAATCATTGACAATTATAGTTGAAAAATGGTTAATTTTTGGTTAAAATGGAGACTCAAATCAATATAGAAACTTGCCCTTAGATTAACGTAAAAAAACATTGATTTACTGTCATTTCAACCAACTTATATCTGGTAAAAATAAAGTAAACAACCTTTGCATAGTTGTTGTAGCTGTTTTTAATCATCTAGTTAATAGTATTTAAAAATTTTTATTCTTAATTTATTTTACCCATATGTTATTTCCTGCTATTTTCTCATTGACATTATCTATTTGTTACTTCTTTAACATACATATGTACATATGTATATGTATATTTGATATACAAAAAAGCAACTACACCGTGTATGGAGAACCATAACAATATATTACCTATAATACATAAATTGTAATTTGCAGTTTGAGAAAAAGTTTTTTGATTACAGAAACCTTTTGGTTTAATTCAAACGCTTGACAGTGATGTTTTTCCTCAAGTTCTTCTTGTTTAGCTTCAATTTTTTTTATTCTTTTTTATTTATTTAATTTAACTAAATCAGTACACGGTTTTCGAATTTCAATACAATTATTTTAATGACATTTCTTCTAGTACTTGATAATTTATTTATTTAATATATAAAACATAAAATACAGCTAAGTACTAATTTTTAATTTATTTATGCAACGTATCAGTCTGTATAGCTCAGACCGTTGTAAGACGTAAAATAAATACACGGTTTTTGAAATCAAATTGTGATACGCAAAATAAATACACGAGAATATACAGAACAAATAAATTCAGTTCAATACATGCATAATAATAACAATTGTTCTCTAAACACACTCTATTGATGACTTTAAACTATTTTACCCTGCTCTCCTCGACCTATGCATCAGTCTCCCTCTAATTCATACAAAAATCTATTGATGACTTTCAACTATTTAGTGTGAGTATCTTTTCTATCAGCACGTAAAAAATCTACATTTAGAACTAATTTAAAATAATTTGGATAGAATTTAAGCAGGAAGTTAATGCCTCATTCCTACCTATCTATTGGTAAGGATTAAGGTTTAAACTACCTGGCTAAGTGTTGTTCCTCTGTGCTCTGTGATAAAACCGTTAGGCTTCTGCACCTAAATAAATAAAATAATAATAATAAAAAAACTTAACAAATTATTATAAAGATGCATCTTTTTTGTTTATTGTTTTTTTCTGCTGCTCTAAAAATTTTCTTAAACATTTCTTTGCAGCTTTCTCTTTTTTGTTTAAAATAATTAACTTTTATTGCAATGTTTTACTTTATTTAAATCTAAACTTTTTATAAACCAACTGACCGTGTTTATTTGATAGAGAGAACACAGCTTAAAGATACAATAAAATAACAACTTAAAGATACAATAAAATCACTCTCTTTAATTATTATTTGCATCATTAATTTATTGAAGCTTAACTCTAAACTTCAGCAAAATGTCATTTCTTAACCAATCATGTTTTACAGAGTGAAAGCAGTTGTGAATTTAGTTTTGCAGAAGCAAAAATTTACAGATTTATAACATGTAGAAAAGGATATAAGAAACTTTTTGAATAATAATAAAAGACGAAAACCGTGCAATAAAAAACCAAGCTGAGCAAAGAATATAAAACATTAAAAAAATCAAAAACCTTGCTAGCACATACAATTTCTGATATGCAAACTAAAATTAATTAAAAGGTTGTATGATTATGGGGTTGCAGAAAAAATATAAAAATTGCTTTTCCCTTACTTGATGGATCTGCCTGAACTGATCATTAAAAAATCATCCATTCGCTTTCCTACAGGATTTATATAATTTTATTCAGTTTTTTCAAAGATTTTTTTTGTAAGACTGAAATATTTCAGTATATAAAAAAAGATTTCAGATTTTATTTGTTTTGGATCACAACATGGCATGTAAGGACCTTTTTTATGACATTTTAACTAAAAATCCTGTGTCCGCTCTTGAATATAATTATTGGTTTGTAATACTGTTTCTTACTTACTACTTAATTAATACCAAATTTAAATACGGTATTAATTAACTAGTAAGTAAGAAACTGTCAGGCTAAATAACCTTTTCCTGTTTTTATTAAAGCAAAATATATAAATAAGGCTCTTTTCTATAGATTTTCCATTATATAGGTTTTCTATTTTTTTTTCTATTTTCTAGCTTTTTTTTTGAAAACTTTTTTTTGAGTTTTAATTACTTAATTTGTTTTATAAATGCATGTTCTCAGATCTGTTAAGTCTCCCCCTTTTGGCGGGAGTCTCCCAAATTTTAAAGAAGGATTTATCTCCTTCCCGCATTAACAAAAATTTTGAAAATTTCTTTTTTTATCTATTTGCAAGTTTTAACCAACTAGGTTTGTACTTTTTTTTCATTTTTAAATGGTTTTTTGATTTGATTTGTGTTTTTGTTCATTTATTCATATATGTCATAGAGACTGTGTCAAATAAAACAAAAATAGGAATAATATATATATATATATATATATATATATATATATATATATATATATATATATATATATATATATATATATATATATATATATATATATATATATATATATATATATATATATATATATTAGATGCCCTAGGTGCATTTCTTACTCTAAAAACGCATATTTATGATGATGGAACCATATGAAAATATTTTAAATATGTTTAGTCAGACAAATTTTAAGTACTTTTTTTTTTAGGAAAACATATAATACATCATGGTGGGTCAATATCATTTTTATAACTTGACAGCTCTATATTCTATTGAAATCATTTTGTTTTAGTAATGTTTTTTGTTGTAGTTGATTTTTTAGATAATGTGTATAGATAAAACTACAGTTAAGCAGATTATAATAGTTTATATTTTTTGCTTGTTGCACTCTCATGTGGAGCCTTGCTCTTTATTTATATATCGTGTGGAGCCTTACTATTCATAAAAGACTTTATGATATTGACCCACCATGAGGTATTTGCCTAAAAAAAAGGAAAAAAAAATTCAAAACTTGACAAACTAAATATATTTAAAACATTATTATATGTTTCCATCATCATAAATATGCTCTTTTTTAAATTTTTTTTATCAATATTTTATCAAATCTACAAATATCTCTAGAAGAAACTTCCTATAAAGTTCTCTGATTTATGTTTTAATTTTTAAAACCTTTATTTAAAACATTTTTATTTTAATTTGAAACTGTTAAAAAATAAATCTCTAATTCTAAATTTGATGATATGTTGAGATGAATTAGATATTTGACTAAAGAAGATGATCAATAATTTGCTTTGTAATCAACTTTTGTTAAATTTAAAACAAGCTTTGTGAAGATAAACTTAAATATTTTCATCAATATTAGCATGTAAATTAAACGATTTAAGAGGAAGGCTACAGTCATAAGACTTCTGTTTGTGATAATATAAACTGCACATTTGAAGTTTATAAATTTGTATTTTTTATTTTTTCAGGATTACTTGGGACACCAGTTAACAATCCTAAAGGTAGAATTACACTTTTTTGATAGGAATTCGATTGTCTAGGTTTATTTATGAGAAGAGTACAGTGCAAAGCATAATTAGCAAAGAAAATTAAATTTTGCACTGGACTTTTTTTATGTACAACCTGGAAAATCCTGATTCTATCTATTCAATTTTAAGAAGCTTTACGTAAATTGTTTAGTTTAAAGCAATTAAAGACATTTAGAACTAATAACAAAATATAATAAGTAAATAATAAGTTATATAATTCAAAGATTTAAAATCATTTTTTGTTTTATAAATTCTAGTCATTGAAAATGATTTTTGTGATGGAAAAAGGGATGGAAACTATCCTATTTCGGATGTATTTAGTTACATATTTTGCAAAGGCGGTGTGTCGAATATCATGTCATGTCAAGATAACTTTATATTTTTGCCAGTTGTAAGTCTTTGTGTTAATATATCGACTCAATCTCCAAATACTTTTTGTCAAGGACGAGAAAATGGTGATTATAATAATCCCTGGAATTGTCATAAATTTTTTAAATGCTTTCAACATTATTCCTATCTTTTTGATTGTCCAACGACCAACCCGGTTTTTAATCCATATACTGACCAGTGTGTTTATAAAAATGAATACCCTTGTCATCAATTATCAGGTATTGTTTTATTTATCTTTTTAATTTTTATTTTTTCAATTTTACCACTAATGTTTCTACACATGTGTGATTAAATCTCCAACCATTACCTTGCAGGTAATGGTTGGGGACTATGATAAATATCTTAATTTTCATTTAATTTAGCAACTAACAACTAATAAATCTTCAAGCCTTTTATCAAGCATTCTATCCATGTGTTCAAACTTACACATTTGAATATTACCTTTTTAAATTGTTTTCATCGAAATCAGCTGATGCAAATACAACAGCTCTAAAAGCTACTATTCAAAGAAAATTTAATATCTGTAACTGCTTTTAAAACAACAGATAATTTCTTTTTAACTATTATTTTTAACTTTTGACTATTGATGCTCGGCTATTGATTCTTTTTAACTATTACATCTTTTGACTTAAGTTAATGAGTATATTATTTTTTCCTTTTTTCATCTTTCTTTTTCATTTTAAGATACTTCTTTGTTGTCTTACTTTATTTTTATCTTAGTCATTCAAAGGTTATTCTAAACACTAAAAAACCAACCAAATCATGAACATACAATAGATATTACCAAAAACAAAAAAAATTGACTTGTTTTACATCTTATCCTCTAAACATATAAACTTTTTAAGTTTTTAAATTTATTTTTAATTACCTATATTAAATACCCAATAAAATATCATAAAAGCTCAAAGAATCAATACAAATAATTTTAAATTATTGTTTGCTGTACATACCTAAACTTGATTTCTTTGCTTGCTTCTTATTAGGAAAAACAGGAGCAATGTGTTTTTTTTTCTTTTCAGGAAAACTTTGTTAATATTTTTTTTAAATTTTTAGAAATAAGTCTTTCAATTCTTCAGGTGAGAATTATTGGCTTTTTCTAGGTGATTGCTCTAAAAATCTTTGCAGAATCTGCAACAATATGTTCTAAAAATAGCATAGTTTAAATAGCTTTAAAATAAGAGTATTTTTTCCTCCTTTTTTTAATATTTAGATCTTCAGTAGAAAACAATTTAAAAGTGTCATCAGTTTTTTTTCTCACTATTAATCTCAATATCAACATGCTCCCATTCTAACTGTAAGTCAGTTTAATCAGGAACAACACAAATCAGTTGATTTGATCAATCACCAAGAACACGAGAAAACCTAATCCTAACTTGGCCTCAGCTAGGTTTACAGGTCACTAACTGCGTGCTTCTCAGGCAAACATTACTGTAGAAACTTTGATTTTTAAGTATATTTTTGATTGATGGTGAAGGTAAAACTAAATTTTGAGCTCCTTTAGTCTCAAACAAGAATATCAGTTTTTCATTTACATTTATTTTCAGAATCACTCAAGTTGCCAAGATCAATATCACTATCTCCATCACTATTATAAATAACCATACCAAAGATCTATACCGTTATATGTATTTTTTTTTTTTTAAGCCATATTTTCATAATTAATTTTTGAGCGATCTATAATAAAATTCAATATTATCAATGGACTGCCATGTGGTTCACTTTACATTTAGGAACTAATTTAATAGATTGCATTGTGCACGGTCTTAAAAGAGTTAAAATTTTTAACTCTTATTCTCTTTACTCTCCTTACGCCCTTACTCTCAGGTGCTTATTACAAGATGGGGTGTAAATAAAAGGGAGGTTGTGAACTTTCATTCAGATCTAATAAAGGAGGTGGGGGGGGGATTTTTTTTTTTAACTTTGAGATAACAGTTTTATTAAAACATAGCAGAATTCATATTGTCATATAAACTAAATTAAATGTTATGTTAATATTATTTTCTTAACATAACATTTCTTACAAATGTTTTTTTTTTAGTTTGTATCAAAAATTTTTGTACCAGATGCGTACCAATTAAGTAACTTATAATGGATGTAACAATTTAATAATTTAGCACTTAAAGTTAATTTAAAAATATACATACCATTTTAATCCCTTAAAATTATTTTAAAATCCCTTAAAATTAATTTAAAAGTATACATACCATTTTAATCCCATTTTAATCCCAAAGGTATATATAGTTATATAAAGTTAATACATTAAATAAAGACTATACCAATGGTTCTCACAAACAGCACTGCCTTAGGATTATACAAACCAAATACTGGTTCACACTATAGTTCCATAATTATAAAAAGAATCAGATCATAAACTATATGTGTATATAACAACAACTTTAATTAACATTAATAAATATATATCTAGCCCACCATTTTTTTAAATAGAAATCATGAATATTGACGATTAACTTTTTTTACTTTTTATACTAAAAAGTCAAAGTAATAAAGTAATTATTATAAAAATGTTTTGCAACCTTTTAAAATTTCAATTTCAAAAAACTCTTCCATTATACAAGAATAAAATATAAAATATAAAGTAAAGTACATCATGTAAAGACTTTTTAAAAACTTGAGTATATCATACAAAAGTTTTGAAGATTTTTATAACTTTTATTAAATTATGTTCATACTTTTTAAGTTCATACTAAGTTCAAATACTAGAAATTATGTTCATACTTTCTAAGTTCATACTAAGTTCAAATACTAAAAATTATGTTCATAGTAATCTTTTAAGATGTTTAGTTTTATTACATTAATACTTCTATTAAAAATTTTTAAAGAAATGTTGCATGCAAATATCTTAATGTAACATTTAATGTTCTTCAAAAGAATCTTTGTCACAATTAAAAAACTTTTGTGTCACAATGAGACATGAAAGTATATACATGAAAATATTATTAAAGATTCTTTTAAAGAACATTAAATGTTATACTTAGATATTGAAGTAGGCAAAAAATTTCAGTTCTAGTAGAATTAAATTTCTTGCCTCTGAATTAAGACTAGAAGTAAATTATTTTCTGAACAAAATAACCACTACTTCACATAAAGTGACTACTTCTGTACTCACTAGATCTGTTTTTTGGATCACTTGATCTGTTTTTTGTATGCCCAAAGTTTTAAAAAGACCTGGTGAGTTTGTTCTTCTAATGTTATATTTATGAGTCATAGTGCGCAATATCCTTGCACAATGTTGTAAACTATTGTTAAGATGACAATTATTAAATAAAGTTAATCTTATTTAAAATCTAAAATACCTTTATTTAACTTTATTTGTTTATTCATCCTTTTTTATATGTTGTTAAATTGTTAAATTAAAGAAAATCAGCATTTTCAGTTTTGCTGAGAAATAGTTGTTGTACCTAGTGCAGTAGAATTTTTTCAAAATGTGATGTAATAACAACTAAGTCTTTTGCAAGAAAGGTATCTAGTAAAGAATTACATCAACACTTTCATATGTTATTTCATTATATCGTATTTCTCATAGGGTTGAAAAAGAGTTGCTATAATAATAGAAAAAAATAAAATATGAGCAGCGTTCTTGACTGTAGTGGTTATTCTGTTTTTTGTAGGTTAGTACAGAAGTAATGAAAAAAAAACTTAAATAAGAAAAGCAAGACTAATTAATATATTTAGTAAAAATATTTGGTAATTTTAAATAAGGAAAGCGAGAATAATTTATATATTTAGTAAAGATATTTGGTAATTTTAAATAAGGAAAACAAGAATAATTTATGTTTAAAAAGATGTTTTGGTAATTTTTTTCTGATAGTTGTCTTTTAATCACGTCAGGCAATTTGTGATGAATTTTTTTAACAAGTTACTTTTTTTGTCCAACTTAATTTTTTTTTAGTGCGAGCTGATGATCCTTGTAATGGAAAGGTGGATGGAAATTATCCACTTCCTGATATCTTCAATTATTTATCATGCACTGGAGGTAAAGGATTAATAAATAGTTGTCCAGATAGAGCTATTTTTGAGCCATCTCTACAAAATTGTAGAGACATTTCGACTGTTACAACATCAAACTTTTGTTTGCTACGACCTGATGGTGACTATATGAATCCTTGGAATTGTCAAAGATATTTGCAGTGTATTGATGGTGCAACCAGAGACTATCCATGCCTAATCAATGAATTTGTCTTCAATCCTGAATTAGATGTTTGTGTACTCCCAGGTACTTTAATAGATTAAAACAATAAAAAAACTTTAAATTTAACTTTTAAAAGGTTATTTTCAAAAATATTTTAATAATTTTTAGCTAAATATCCTTGCAAACAAATTTCAAGCACAGTGCTGAGCAATTTAAACAGAGTTAATACGTTTTCTGGAAAATCTGATGGTAAATACTCACTGCTAACACACTACATTGGGTGAATGTTGAAACAACATCAGAAGCATTGGGCTGAAATTGTTCAGAGGTGACCCAATGTAGTGTCCTAGCTGAGCAATCCATTTTCTTCTCTGCTTATTTTTTTATATGCAGATTTATAGTTAGTGTGAACAGTGAATGTTTTTGTTTAAACAATAATTGACATCTTTAATACATAGTATTACAGATCATATGCAGAATGATATTTTTGCATTTATAGAGATCTTAATGGAGAACCCATGTGCAGGAAAAGCTGATGGAAACTATTTGATTCCAGATGTGTTTGCATACTTGCAGTGTTCATCGCAACAGGGAAGGACTTTACCCTGTCCAGCCAATCAAATTTTTGATCCAATATACAGTAGCTGCAGAGATGCTGGGGAATATAACTTGACCAATTTTTGTAAAGGAAAACCAGATAATCAGTATCGTAACCCATGGAACTGCCATAGTTTTATTTCTTGTTCTAATGGTATATCGCACAATATGCCTTGCCCAGTATCAAACTTAGTTTATGATCCTTATAACAATATTTGTGAATATCCTTATCAATTTCCATGCAAAATATTAAGTGAGTATGGAAAGATATTTTTTAATTAAATGACAATAAAGTATTTCTAATATTATTTCTAATATTAATTATGTTGCTGTTGTTATTTGATTTAAAAGTAGTTGAATTTTGCAACTCACTATAACCTGCCATTATTGACAAATAGTATAATTTGCCTTAAAAATGAATTGGCTGTTAAAAGAAAAAATTTGTTTATATATTGTAGTAAATTTTAAAATATTTTATTATATTGCCACAAAAACATATATATCTTTTATTTTTGTACTATCTTTATGGTTTTATATTATATTTTATTTTTACTTAACTGTCTAGGTATAGTATATCGAGCCTTCTCAAGAGACGTGTGTGTTTGCATATCTTATATGACCACACATATTTTGTTTTAAAACTTGGCAATGGTTAAAATGAATGCTTTTAGTTAGCTTGCTTAAAAATGTGCTGAATAAACAAATGTAAATTTAAACTAAAATTAAAAATAAACAAACCATAAACTGGAAAGAGAAATAAAACTAAAAAAAACAGCTTAACAAATGATAAAACTAAAAAAAATTAACCGGAAAAAATTAAAGCATTAAAAGCAAAAAATATATGATTTTATTTTAATTTAAAAGTGTTTCATCTCAAAGAATTTAGAAAAAATCGAAGTTTCAAAGTTATTTAATCCAAGCTAAATTACTTCAAAACTTAATTATTTAAAAGTTCAAAACTTTGATATTTTTTTATGTCCACAAAGTAAATAAAACATTAAAAAATAAATATCTGATTTGAACAAGATTTAAACCCTCATCTAATGCTGATAAAACAAGTCATGCCTCATAAATGTCACATTTAATTAACCCATGCGCTAAGCAATGTATATATATAGGATTGTTTGCATGGTCATATAAGGTGTGTGACCACATAACATTCATTAAACATAGTAAAGAACTCTTACTTAGTTGATAATAAACTTTGTATTTTTTTTTCAGCAATATTTGTTTTACTGCTTCAAATGATGTGTTTTAAAACTTAAAAATAAGCATTATAACAATTTCTGATATTTAGTTTTGCATTTATATTTTGGTTTAACAAAACTTTCAAAATTTAACTTGAAAATTGAAATAACTTGAAAGTTGAAAGTTGTATAGTTAATAGTTATACTCAGTGGCATAGGAAGATTTTCAAATGTTTGAAATAACCAACTTATAAATAACAAGAGTATTCCAAATCTTTTTACATTCATATGTAGGACGAAAAGATTATTTAAAAAAAAAATTACTGTGATTGGAGAATGGGAACTCAATGGAATTTATATGGTCATTAACCAATGAAAATTTATATAGTCATAACTTATGAACACTAAAATATTTTACTATAAAATTTAAAATTTCTCAATGAAATTAAGTCTATTTGAAAATAGTATTCAAAATATTTTATCAACTTGTTGCTCTCATGTTTGGGCAAAGGTGGCTAAGATTTTAGGGTTTCTTGTTCCCATGCTCCAATCACAGTAATTTTTTTTTAAAGAATCTTTTCGTCATACATATGAACATAAAAAAATTTGGAATATTCTTGTTGTTTATAAGTTGGTTATTTCAAACATTTAAAAACCTTCCTACGCCACTGGTTATACTTGTTAAAAATATTAATGGTAATATTAGTAATAATAATAATAATAACAACAATAATAACAATAATAATAATAATAATAATAATAATAATAATAATGATATGAGTTTTACTGCATTACCATTCGGTATATTTTATATTGCAAACAATCTGGTATAAATATTAAAACTTATTTGCAAAATTAAAACAGAATTCGCTTGAAGTATATAAATATTAAATAAAAAAGTTCAAATTTAAAAAATCCCTTAAGGTACTATGATATCATTCTTAAGCTGTTTTGATTTATATGATGGCTATTAGTTGCATATTTAGCAATATTTAAATGTTGCAATTTGAAGTATAATAATGTTTATTTTACATCTGAAGAAATCTAAAATTATTTTAAGTAAAGCAATAAAATCTAACTAAATTGCATGTATGTAAATATGGCAGCTATATACTATTTACTTTATATATATGTACAAAGATTTCCGAGCAATTAGAGTTTATAAAGAATATTTAAGTTTACAAAGATTGTAAAATGAACAAGATTGTTTATTAAGAATATTAAGTTTACAAGACAAGCAAATGTTAACAAAATGCAGAGAGCCTTATGAATTTCATTGACCTCTTCAAATAAATCTTGTTGCAGTGTTTTTTATTGTTTTTGTTTTTTTCGTTGTTATTTTTTTACTCTGATTTACTCCTAACAAGCAACCTAACAAGGCTGCAAGCAACCACTATTAAGTAGAAGAAAAAAATTGAATTACAGAACATAGAAAACAGTTAAAAGAAGTTGGGAGAGAGTTACAAAGTGTGAGGAAAAAAACTAGATAAACAAAATGACCTTGAGGTACTTAGGGATGACTTTAATAAAGCAGTTAAAAAGAAATGATTTGATATTCTCAAAAGCTTTCCCAGATACATCATAAGAAGCAAGCTTATGGTGAAGACTAGCATGCCAAACTTTGTTGAAAGCTTTATATTTATTGCTCTTGACATAACAATAGCCTCGTCACCTCCATCTAATGCACAATAAAATTTTACAGTGACAGAAGTTAGCAAATCAGCCGTAGAGTGAGATGATCAAAAAACATATTAATTGTCTGACAATAAGTGAAGAATCATTTGATTTGCATGTTAGAAAATTTTGATCAAAAACTCAAAAACCTTGCTAATCACAGATAAATAACTGATTGAACAACAGTTTAAGGGATCAGAATGTTCTCCAGTGTTTTAAAAAATTGGAACTACAGAAACCATTTTCCAGCAAGCAGGAAAACAAGACAGCTAGAGGAATACAAGACTGCAAGGGAAAAACAACAGTCAAGTACTTATTAAATTATTTAGAGGGAATTTAAGAGAGTTCTTAAAACACTTTTATTGGACTATGACATAAAAAAGGAGGTGTCTGGACACTAACCTTAGAAAAGTTTAATTGAGAAAAACAACTTCAGCAACATAAATTAGAGTGATTGAATGTCTAACAATGAATTAACCTGTTTAACTGGAATGGAAAGGAGATTATGACCATAAGATTCAATAATCAAATTAGAAGAAAAGTTTTTTGCAAATAGTTCTGCCCTATCTTTGGGAGAGGTAATAAGATCAGTCTCATGAATGAGAGATAGAATATTATTACCTAGCTCCGTCGATGGGTTGAAGATTTTTCACCTAACCTAACTTCTGAGATAAGATACAAGATTTAGTGAACTAATAATTATGGAGCTTAGCATCAAACAGCACCTTTTTACATTTATTTCTTGCAATAATAAATAGTTTTTTGTTCTCAAAAGAGTTGTTCTTTTGAAAAAAAAGAACGACTCTTTTTTGGAATGGAATGTTTGTTTTTTTGAGAATGAACATTCCATTCCTGCCTGGATCCAAGTGGTTATATAGGAAGTGTATTTATCAGTGGAGAGAGAAAAGACATTAGCCCAAGTCATGAAGAAAATCACAAAAGAATCCCAGTCAGCTTTTAGGGTATTAGTAAGTAGTGTGATGATAGGGTAAGTCTGAAGATGAAAAGATGAAAAGTTTATACAGATCATTGCACAGTTGGAAACACCTAAAGGATAATAATTTGAAATTGAACACAAGCTAGGCCTTCTACAAGACAGTAGTTGGATGCAGTTAACATCTGCCAAGATTGGTATTTTTATCGAGAGACGATTTCTAGCCTTTACTCAACCAAGAGCCCCAAGGCAGGGGATATTTAAGTTTGTTTCTCTTAGCCTTTGTCTAAAAAAAGTAAATCCCACAAGGCAGCATGGCATGGTACAGGTAGTATAGGGCTACATAATACCAGTATCAGGGTGATTGTGATGATCCTGAATCAGATCTAGCCTGGAGTAGTTAAAAGAAGTTACTTCCTGTAAACATTACTTTAAAACATTGATGAAAATATTTTAAGAGTGCATTAAGAAAAACATTCCAACAGAATACTAGAGATTAGGGGGAACATAGATTTGTTAGCTTCACTGAGTTGGGTAATGATCTCACACAGAATCAGAGATTTACATAGAACACAAACATGCATATAGTAATTTATGGGCGAGTGAATACTGCACTAGAGGTTTAGGCTGAACACAAACATGAGTTACATGCTTTGAAAGCGTTATTGTTTTTATCGTGTTACTAAAAACATCGGTAATCATCACTTTTTGTTTTGTCTTCAAGCCAACAAGTTACTCAACCATTTTTTTATTCCATCATCAATATTTTTAAAGTGTAATTACTAGCAATGTAAAGCAGAGTTAAAGTAATGAATGAATCTACTGTTCTAAAAATCCAGCAATCAGTGGTGAATAATACACCATCTTCATTTTTAACTCACTTGTCAACTTTTTATCTAATGCTGCCTTCATATTCATATCATATATTTATATCTTGGGTAACTTGTAACTGAAATTACTTTGTATTTTGAAAGTTAAGACAATGTATGATTTTGTGACTTAGATACTGTTGTATTGTTTTTTTTTTTTTGTCTATACTTTTTGAGCTGAGACTTTAAGCTAGCTGAAACTTTATACATAACTCATTTTTTTTGCTGATGGACCTTGTATTATTCTTAGACATCATCAGAAATTAATTAACAACTTTTTCAATTAAGCTGTGTACTTAAAATAGTATCATTGTAAAAAAAATTTTAATTTACCTTTTTGTCTCTGTAGAATTATTTTCTTTTCCATGATTTTGATTAACTGAATTTCATAATTCTTTTTTCAACTAATAATTTATCTTATACTGGATGTGGAACCCTTAATAAATTTTTACACTTTTCGACACTTTATTGTAAATTGGATTGGCAGCTACTTCTCTATCTTTATTAGTTGGTTCTTTTTCAAAATAATTCCAAATAAAAGAACTTGTTATTGACATTTAATATACAAAAAAGAAATTAACATTAAAAAAATATGTCACAAACACTCTAACAATACAGATAATAAGTTTTATTTTTTATTAAAAAAAAACATTTAGAAAATTAAATAAATTTAAAAAAAGTAACTAACCTAACTAATTTAAGTTTATCAGCAAGAAACAATTAACCTAACTAATTTAAATAACTAACCTAACTAATTTAAGTTTATCAGCAAGAAACAATTTTTTTGTATTAATAAAACTTATTTAAATTTAAATTATATCTTTTAAATTCAAGTTACAAGTTTGTTAAATGTGCAAAAATATTTTGAGTTTTTGCTTAAAACTGTAAAATAATACTGCTCTTAATAAATGTATAAAATTTTGTTTTGTATAAAATTATATAAAATTTTTGCTTGTATTAAATTTTTACCTACAATTCGATAATCAAAATGTAGGTTTTAAATTTTTTTTGCTCTTTGTCTTTTAACTAAATTTTGATTGAATGAAAGAGCAAAAAATAAAGGCTTTTTTGTTGTTTTATTTTATTTTAATTAAAGTTAATAAAAATAGTTTCTTTAATAAAAAAAAGTTTCTTTAATTAAAATAAATAAAAATAAATTTTATTTTAAATAAACCATAAGATGAAACAGACTCTAGACCAGTTAATACATTTTAACTTTTTTTTAAACAATTATAAAATTTTTTTTATATTTTTTATATTTTTTTTATTTATATTTATATTTTATATTTTTTTTTTATATTATTTTATATTTATATTTATATTTATATTTATATTTATATTTTATATTTATATTTTATATTTTTTTTTATATTTATATTTTATATAAAATAATGAAATCAACAAATAAATTATCAATCGATTAAATATTTTTAACAGAAGTTTTCTGTTATTTCATCTGTTAAAATTTTTTAATGTAACAGGCATTAACCGTAGATGGATTTACCTGACAGAAAAATCAAACACTCATGTTTACTGCAGGATGCTGTCTCTTTATAATGGTTATTTTTAACTGTGATGCCTCCTTTGCCCCAAACCATGTCTTCTTTGGGCTTTGAAATGATCCTGTCATTGTATTGATTCAATTTAATTTAAATCAGTGACAAAATTTTCATCTGTATAAACCACAAAAATGTTGTGAGCTTGGATGAAGTTCAAAAAAATGCGGGCTCGTTTGTTCAGTTTTTCTCTTGTTCCTTCACTCAGGAGCTATCAGTTCATGGATTGTCCTGAAGTTCCAGCTTCTCTAGACCAGCTTTAAATCGAGTGATACTTTGCAAGTTACAATCAATATTATTTTTTAGTTCTTGCAGTTTGTTTACGGTCAACTTTTTTTGAAAAACCTCCTCCTTTTTGAAGATCTGTTAGGACTTTTTAGAAATTAGGTCTATTTACATAATTTTGTTTAATTATATATAAAAATATATAATATTTAAAAAAAATTAAATTTTAGTATAAATAAAAAATGTAGTCCAAACTGTTTTTAAACTCTTCTTTTAATTCATGCATGTTTCCCTGCAAGTTTCCCTATTGACAGTGGCAGTGTTGAAAAAAGACGTCTTTGTTTAAAAAAAAAAAGCTTATTTAGTTGAGCTTTTCAATTTAAAAAAGAATCAGGTATTTTACTTGAGCAAAGTATATTCATATACTATCAATATTACTGCTTTTTTTCATCAATCAGTACATTATTATTTAATGTTCTGTTTAGCTGCTACTACCATTTTGTTTTTTAACTTGGAATAAACAAGCCCAAAACATAAAGAATATTTTCATTCTTGCTCTAGAATTTAGTACATTAAACAAACTTCCTATTATAATGTTACAACACTAAGATTTTATTTCCACCATTATGGTTATACATTTTTAAAAATAGATTACTATACAAATATATGCTTGTGTTTACTATGCTTATCTGCTAAAGTAATTGCTTCATTTGTATTTTCAGAAAAATTTGAAAAATATCTAAGATCTAAAAAGGATCTAAAATCTAGGATCTAGTGTGTTTGCAAAGAAATCACTGACAATCTTAAGATATCTGAACTATTCAATATTTTTTTAAATTTGTTAAAAATAATGTTTTTTAAAAGATCTAAAAATGATTTAGGATCTAGTGTGTTTGCAAGGAAATTACTGTCAGTCTTTAGATATCTAAAGTTTTCAATATTTTTTTTCATTTGTTAAAAACAACGTGTTTTTAAAAGTTTATAAAAGTTTCAAAAATTTCATCAGTATCACTTATGATTACTTTGCAACTTTTAATTACAATTGTAATTAACTTTTAATTACAATTATTGGTTTTAATATTTTCAATAAATCTTCTGCATTTTGCTTTTTTGTATTCCACTTTCATACCAATCGTGGGATCCTTGTCTCTATTTTTTTAAACGTCATGAAAATGATGCTCCAGTTAGTGACATATTTCTCAAGTATTTATCGGAAGTGTTCCTCCATTTTCTCTCTAAGTTGGTTTTATAATAATTGATATTAAATTATAAATTGTATTACATTGGAACTGTTGCTGTAATCTAAAAATAAATGTTGATAAAAAAATGGTAATTTGATTTAAATCACCATTTTTCAAATGGAAGTCATTTAACTTCTATACATTCATTATATAACCGCAAATTTTAGAGTAATATTAAAATTTTGAGAAAGTTTCTAATGTAGTTTGGATAGCTGACAACAAAAAATTAATTTCTGATACATTTACTATAATTAAATTTTGTTCTATTTTATTAGCTCTAATTGTTTGTATTTTTATAGACAGTCTATGTGCAGGGAAAGCTGATGGAAAATACTTGATTCCTGATGTGTTTGCTTACTTGCAGTGTTCATCACAACAAGGAGGTTACGTAAATTGTCCAGATAATCAAATTTTTGATCCAAAATATAGTGATTGCAAGGATGCTAAATACTATAATTTGAACAACTTTTGTACTAATAAACCTGATGGTCAATATCGCAACCCTTGGAACTGCCATACTTTTATTTCTTGTTCTAATGGTTTATCACACAATATGTCTTGCGCAACACCAGTGTTAGTTTACGATCCTTATGACAATCTCTGTGAATATCCTTCACTTTTTCCATGTCGCACTGTTAATATGAGTGAGTATCATTTAAGTCTCTTAATTTGGTAATTCATGATTTTTTTATAATTATCATTACCAATAGTAGCATTATTTATTTGAAAACTTTGAAAAATTTATCTGAAAAAAAATTATATTCATTAAAATGTGAGATCGCTAGATGTCAAATTAATAGTTGAAGCACTAATATTGAAATATAATTATTATTTTTATAAATAAAATGTTAAATATATTATCTGATACTGCTGTTTCTATACAGCTATGTATTGTTTAGGAACCAAATAAGTTTAATAATTTTTATATTAGAGTTTTATTAGAGAATTATTTGTATTGCTGAGATGTAGCAGTTGTGAAAACAATGAAACAATGCATATATATATATATATATATATATATATATATATATATATATATATATATATATATATATATATATATATATATATATGTATATATATATATATATATATATATATATATATATATATATATATATATATATATATATATATATATATATATATATATATATATATATTCATTATATATACTCATTAAAGTTCATTAATTTTTAAATCAATTAAAGTACATAAATTAAATTATCAATATTTTTTTTAAACATAACAGTAAACATGAAAATCTTTTATTTAGTAAATAATATATTCTGTTTATATTATAACATTAATTATAACATTGTTTCAATTTTGACCCAGCATAGTGTGCTAACTGGGTTATAAATTAAGCAGAAAAGAGATTTAATTTAATATTTGCAGAATAATCTAATTATTCTTTAAAACTGTCTTCAACTCTAGACTTACAGTTGTACTATTGTACATATGTAAGTTTAAAGTTAGTCTGAACAGTGAATGTTTTTGTTTGAACAATAGTTGACTGCTTTAATACAAAGTATTACAGATGCAGAATGATATTTTTGCTTTTATAGAGATCCTAATGGATAACCCATGTGCAGGAAAAGCTGATGGAAACTATTTGATTCCAGATGTGTTTGCATACTTGCAGTGTTCATCACAACAGGGAAAGACTTTACCCTGTCCAGCCAATCAAATTTTTGATCCAATATACAGTAGCTGCAGAGATGCTGGGGAAACTAACTTTAACAATTTTTGTATAGGAAAACCAGATGGTCAGTATCGCAATCCATGGAACTGCCATAGTTTTATTTCTTGTTCTAATGGTGTATCACACAATATGTCTTGCCCAGTATCAAACTTAGTTTATGATCCTTATAACAATATTTGTGAATATCCTTATCAATTTCCATGCAAAATATTAAGTGAGTATAATAAAGATATTTTTTAATTAAATCACAACAAAGTATTTCTAATGTTATTTATAATATTAATTATATTGTTGTTATTATTGTTAATTAATTTATAAAATAAAGTTTATAATAGAAATAAATCTAATTTAAACAAAAATCTAATTTAAACAAAATAATAAATTTAATTTAAACAAAAATCTAATTTAAACAAAAAAAAATGTAAAAATATTATCCCATTCTGTCTTACCATGGTTATATTAGGAGTAATATAAAAAGATGGTAGGATAGTTTACATTTTGTTATATAGTGGCAGGATGGCATTCCACTTTGCTTTGAGCTCTGTATACTAGGTTGACAATTAAGAAAATATATTTTTTGAAAATTACTATTACATTTGTAACAGTTCTCCATTTTAATACAAATTCAAAAAGGACTGAGAAATTTTTTTTTTGATTACTCTAAGCGCTTTATGTAAAAATTCATTTTCATGTTGTTTGTCATTTCTTATATGTTTTTACTTTTCTTTAAAATTTAGCTTAATTATTATTTTTTATAACTAATAAAATGATTTTGAAACTAATTAAATATTGAATTTACTGAACAGAATGGGAAAAGCAAAGAAAAAAAAAAAGAATATTTTTATTAGATAATTTATCTAACAAATTTTTATTTTTTTTTCAGCGCATTTTGAAACTTTTAGAATTGTCAGTAAAAATTGCGTAGTCTAGTTTTAAAAACAAAATATTTTATGTGTGATTAGAAATTGCGTTATATCGCACTTCTTTATTATTTATCAGACATGTCCGGCAAACTTGAGTCTTTATCAGTCAAATTGTCCAGTAGAAAATTGTTCGTTATTTCGAGCCCTGTATATATACAGTGACTCAGAGTGAAAATGGTGCAGCATAGTAAAGGATATTGTGATTCAACATTATTTTGACATTATTTTTTGAAAATATTTTTTTATGTAAAATATGCAGTAGCATCCAAAAGTTTGCGGACAGGCAAAAAAATAAGGAATGTTACTTAAATTTCAGCACATATTTCACTAAAGCCAACATATTATATACCAATTAAAAGGTTTTCAAGTTAACAATTATGTTTTGAGCAAATAATGAATATTTAATTATCATTTTAAAATTGGTTAACATAATGGCGATTTTTGATAAGTTCAAAAGTTTGCGGACAAACTAACGCTTTTAACATTTTCACCACAAAATAGCTAATTTGTTGATTTTATAAACAAATACTTTGTTGAAATAATTTCAAAACTTTATATATAAGTGATTGAGATCATGGGATTTAAGAAATGTATTTCATCTCCAGTAGAAAAATTGATCTTGAGATCAGTTCAGAATGGAAACTCGTTTCGTAAAACAGCACAGCTTTATGGAGTTGGTAAGTCTGCTGTTGGACAAATTATGAAGAGATTTGAGCTTACTAGATCTACAAAGAATAAAAATCAATCAGGAAGGCCACGCAAAACAACGCGTTATCAGGATAAAAAGCTTGTAATACTAAGCAAAGAAAATCTCCATTTGACAGTTGTCGATTTAAATGTACAAATGAGGCGTTTCTATGGAATGATTTGTAGTATTTTTACTATAAAACGTCGTTTACGTCACGCTAATTTGTTTGGAAGACGCCCAGCTAAAAAACCATTAGTTTTCTTGAAAAACTGTAACGCTTGAATGGAATTTGCATCAAAACATCTAAAGTGGAGTAGTCAAAAATGGTCAAAAATTCTTTTTAGTGACGAAAGCAAATTTATGCTGTTTGGATCCGATGGAATCAGGTATGTTCGACGTCCAGTAGGTACTAGGTACAATCCTAAATACCAACTGCCTACCGTAAAATATGGAGGAGGTAATGTAATGGTTTGGGGATATTTTAGCCGAAATGGAGTTGGTCCTCTCCATAGAATTTCCGAGAATATGAATCAAGAAAAGTACAAAGATATATGTAAGACTATTATGTTACCATATGCAAAGGATAAAATGCCTCGAGGATGGATTTACCAACAGGATAACGATCCCAAACATACAGCTAAATCGGTTTTAGAGTTTTTTAAAGAGAGTAAAGTTAATGTTTTGAAGTGGCCATCCCAATCACCTGACTTAAATCCCATTTAACATCTATGGGAATATGTTGACCGTCAAATGAAAGGAATTAAGCCTACAAATTATGCTGATTTATTTAATAAAATCAAAGAATTATGGGACTTAATTCCCATTGACGTTTGCATTAATTTAGTTGACTCTATGCCTCATAGATGCCAAGCTATTCTTGATTGTAAAGGATATCCTACAAAATACTAATGTGAATTTGCTTTTGCAAAAATTGTGATCAAATATTGTTGAAATATTTTAACTATTTTAAAAAATAATGCTTTGTCCTCAAATTTTTGAACTTATCAAAGACCGTTGATTTGTATACCAATTTAAAAATATTATTTAGATAATAATTATTTGTTCAAAACCTAATTGTAAATTTGAAAACCTTTTAATTGGTATATAATATGTTGGCTTTAATAAAGTATGTGCTGAAATATAATTAAAATTCTTTATTTTTTGCCTGTCCGCAAACTTTTGGACGCTACTGTACATTGTTATATATACATAAAATATACATTCATATAAATTGCTATTAATATTGTTAAATATTAATCTACTTGTTAATTATTTTGTGTGTGCTTTAAAATACAAAAATTAAAATAAGGAGACACATGACTTTTGAAGAAAGACAATTCTATTTTATTTCCAAAATAAAAAAGGTCAATGAGAAATTGCCAAAATTGTTAATAAAAGTGCGTCTACAATGCAGGTTATTATAGAACGTTACCAAAATGAAAATAAAATAAAAAATAAAGTGAAAATAAAAATGTGAATATAGAAACAATTTGTAGAGTTTTAAGAAAAAACAACAAATAGTAGAATGGCTACGAGGAAACCATTCATAAGTAAGTAAAATTTAAAAGGTCAACCCAATGATTACAAAAAAAGGGGTTTTAATTTCTGGAAGAATGTTTTATTCATTCAGATTGTCGAGTAAATGTATGGTGAAGAGTGAAAATAGAGATGAAACCTCAACATTTAAGACCAACCGTAAAACGTGGTGTGGTCATGTAATGGTTTAGGGTTGTTGCTCAGCTAATGGGGTGGGCAATTTACTAAAATTATCAAGGGTAATTTGATAAAATTATCAAGGGCAATATGGATAAAATAATGTACTTAAGTATTTTATAAGAAAACATTACAACCAGCGTTGAAAAATTGGACATAAAAGATAATTTTGTGTTTTACCAGGACATCAATCCAAAACATAGATCACACAAAGCGCAAGAGTGGTTATTGTACAATTGTCCTAAAGTGATGAAGATTCTGTCACAGTCTCCTAACATGAGTATTATTGAAAGTTTATGGCATAATCTAAAATTAGAAATTCGTAAATATACCATAAATAATAAAAATAAATTAAAACATGCATTGCTAGAAAAGTGGAATATAATAATCCTAGAATATACAAACAAATTAGTGGAATCAATTCCTAATAGGTTAGAATTAGTAATTAAGTCCAAAGAAAATCCTACCTACTATCAATTTTATTTAAGAATTAATTTTTTTTTTTTTTTTTTTTTGATTGCATCATTCTCACTGTGATGTAGTTTTTGTTTAGTTTATATTTGTTTAATAAAAAGTAATGTAATTGTTTGTAAATTTATTTCATTTTTTTGCAATAATAATATTAAAAGAAAAGCTCTTCAATATAATGTAGTTTATTTTCAGAAAAATTATGTTAAAGTAATGTTTAATCACAAAAACACGTTTTATACTACCATTCACTACCATATACTACCATATATATATATATATATATATATATATATATATATATATATATATATATATATATATATATATATATATATATATATATCTTTAATTGTTACCTTAAAATATAAATTTTGTTTTTAAAAACAAAAATTCATTTATAAGACTGATAAAAATTTTTAAAATTTTTATTGATAGATTGCCTACCTAAATCAAAACCATTAGTTTTGGTTTTAGTTTTTACTAGGTTTTTCTACCTTTACATCATACAAAGTTTACAGAAAAAGAAAAAAAAATTAAGAATAGTAAAAAATAAAATTGCTGCCCTATGTCAAACCCCCAGTTGATGTAGCAGTACTCCTTCGTAGCAACAGGCTATAAAAAAGTTGATGTATGTACTGAAGATCTTGGTGGTAGGCTATTTTATCCTGACATCAGAAATGTTAACATGCATTTGTAGTTATTTGAAGTAATTAATTCTTTGATAAAAAATTTGGTCTTGTCCAAACTCATGCTTGTTTCCCTGCAAATTTCCGTTGTCAGTTAATGTACTTATTCTTTTTATTTTCTTCATAAAAGTTATAGTGGCGTTTAAAATTTTTAAAAAAATTTGCTTTTGAGGATTGAATAATTACAGTGTCTCTTTTACAGAAATTTTGAAAAAGTTTTTTGATGTAGTTTGGATAGCTGACAACAAAACATTAATTTCTGATACATTTACTATAATTAAATTTTTTTCTTTTAATTTATTTGCTTTGATTGTTTGTATTTTTATAGACAGTCTATGTGCAGGGAAAGCTGATGGAAAATACTTGATTCCTGATGTGTTTGCTTACTTGCAGTGTTCATCACAACAAGGAGGCTATGTAAACTGTCCAGATAATCAAATTTTTGATCCAAAATATAGTGATTGCAAGGATGCTAAAGACTATAATTTGAACAACTTTTGTACTAATAAACCTGATGGTCAATATCGCAACCCTTGGAACTGCCATACTTTTATTTCTTGTTCTAATGGTATATCACACAATATGTCTTGCGCAACACCAGTGTTAGTTTACGATCCTTATGACAATCTCTGTGAATATCCTTCACTTTTTCCATGTCGCACTGTTAATATGAGTGAGTATCATTTAAGTCTCTTAATTTGGTAATTCATGATTTTTTTATAATTATCATTACCAATATTAGCATTATTTATTTGAAAACTTTGAAAAATTTATCTGAAAAAAAAATGTATTCATTAAATTGTAAGGTTGCTAGATGTTAGATTAATAGTTGAAGCATTAGTATTGAAATATAATTATTATTTTTATTAATAAAATGTTAAATACATTGTCTGATTCTGCTGTTTCAATACAGTTATGTAACGTTAAGTAACCAAATAAGTTTAATAATTTGTATATTAAAGTTTGCTGAGTTGTAGCAGTTGTAAATAAAATTAAACAATGAATTGCCCATAAATTTAATAATTAGTTAATTTATTGGTATCGGCATCAGTATCAGCCTTTTACCACCCATTAGCATCAGTATCTGCATTAGCCACAAATGTGCTATCAGTACATCACTATTGATTCCTTTTGAATCTTTGTCATCTCATAAGTTCATATCTTTTTAATCAGCAGACTTACCATGTCCATAAAATTGTGCTGTCTTACAAAATAAATATCCATTTGAACTGATGTTTCATTTGAATTTACTATCAACTTTTTAACTGGAAAAATTATACATTTCTTATACCCTGTGACCTCAATTACTTATAAAGCTTTTTAATTATTTCTACAAAGTATTTGTTTACAAAATCAATTAAATTATCAGTATTTTTTCAAAACATAACAGTAAACATGAAAATCTTTTGTTTAGTAAATAATATATTCTGTTTATATTATAACATTAATTATATCTTTGTTTCAATTTTGACCCAGCATAGTGTGCTAACTGGGTTATAAATTAAGCAGAAAAGAGATTTAATTTAATATTTGCAGAATAATCTAATTATTCTTTAAAACTGTCTTCAACTCTAGACTTACAGTTGTACTATTGTACATATGTAAGTTTAGAGTTAGTCTGAACAGTGAATGTTTTTGTTTAAACAATAGTTGACTGCTTTAATACAAAGTATTACAGATGCAGAATGATATTTTTGCTTTTATAGAGATCCTAATGGATAACCCATGTGCAGGAAAAGCTGATGGAAACTATTTGATTCCAGATGTGTTTGCATACTTGCAGTGTTCATCACAACAGGGAAAGACTTTACCCTGTCCAGCCAATCAAATTTTTGATCCAATATACAGTAGCTGCAGAGATGCTGGGGAAACTAACTTTAACAATTTTTGTATAGGAAAACCAGATGGTCAGTATCGCAATCCATGGAACTGCCATAGTTTTATTTCTTGTTCTAATGGTGTATCACACAATATGTCTTGCCCAGTATCAAACTTAGTTTATGATCCTTATAACAATATTTGTGAATATCCTTATCAATTTCCATGCAAAATATTAAGTGAGTATAATAAAGATATTTTTTAATTAAATCACAACAAAGTATTTCTAATGTTATTTATAATATTAATTATATTGTTGTTATTATTGTTAATTAATTTATAAAATAAAGTTTATAATAGAAATAAATCTAATTTAAACAAAAATCTAATTTAAACAAAATAATAAATTTAATTTAAACAAAAATCTAATTTAAACAAAAAAAAATGTAAAAATATTATCCCATTCTGTCTTACCATGGTTATATTAGGAGTAATATAAAAAGATGGTAGGATAGTTTACATTTTGTTATATAGTGGCAGGATGGCATTCCACTTTGCTTTGAGCTCTGTATACTAGGTTGACAATTAAGAAAATATATTTTTTGAAAATTACTACTACATTTGTAACAGTTTAATACAAATTCAAAAAGGACTGAGAAATTTTTTTTTTTGACCACTGTGAGTGCTTTTTGTAAAAATTGATTTTCATGATGTTTGTCGTTTTTTTACTTTTTGTTAAAATTAGCTTAATTATTATTTTTTATAACTAATAAAATGAATTTAAAACTAATTAAATATTGAATTTACTGAACAGAATGGGAAAAGCAAAAAAAAAAAATTCTTTATATATTTTAAATAGAAGTGTCAGAAGACCATTTTATCCACTTAAATCATCTATTTCTGAATTGCCACCTTATTAGCTTCCTACCAAGAGAACACTTTTAAAACATTCCCAATATCTTATCAGCTCTTGATAAGATCAAAGTGATGTAAAAGTTTTTATACAAACTTTGCATTTGAAACTGGCAAAAGGTTTGATATTGTATGTAAAGCAAATCCAGCATGTCAATGAGAAAATAAAAACATTTGTCTAATATAGGTAGATTTGAATAATGATATAACTTAATAAGATTTAATTTTTATTTCATTTGGGCTTGACAGCTTGGTCTAGTTCTTTGATGCATTTTTTTGCATTTTTATTAATTATTTATGTTGGGACTAGGGAGCTATGACTATTTTTCATACTAGACTTTTATACACAGCCTTTACAGTTATATATTTTTGTCTTATCACTTTTTTTATTTTCTTCATATTTTATATATATATATATATATATATATATATATATATATATATATATATATATATATATATATATATATATATATATATATATATATATATATATATATATATATATATATATATATATATATATATATATATATATATATATATTATTTCTTTACTTATCTAGGTTGCATGTTGCTTTTAATATCATTATAATGTATCCCTCATGCAATTTTTATCACTATTTGATTATTAGTTTAATTATCACTATTACTAACAACTATGACTAAAACACGTAAATACGGTTACATACATTATTGCTGTTTCCGTGGCAGAGTGCTTTTGTTTCTGGTACTTATATGAGCTAACTTTTAGAACCAGAAGATAATATAAATCCTAGGTATGGATGCTATATCCATCTTAGTTAATTTGTAGCATGGTTGGGTTGGCTAGGTGTGTTTTGGGATTAGAAGTTTTCACGCTGATTTCTAACATTATAACTATAATAATTGACTCTATTGTACTCGGACATTCAATACTTTCTTCGACAACCATTGGTATGTGTGTATCTATAAATATGTATGTATATAAGTGTCATATTATTTTTTTGTTGAGATCATTATGCAATAATAATTAGTGCTAGTGGTATAGCAACATTCGAATCATTGAATGTGGTTGCATGTTTTTAAATTGTTTGTGTTGGGACTAGGGAACTTTGATGGTATTGTCATGTAGGCATACTTTACATATATGTGTATGCGTGTATGTGTCTATATATGTAAAAATGTTGGTTTTTATACATTTATGGCTTCTTTTTTTTTCCCACCTATGTAATTTTTGACGTTTGACATTGTAATGGTTTAGTTATACTATTTTGTCGTTATTACTATATTTTGTTTAAAACCTGTTTTTTGATTGGTTAGCAACATTCAATCTAGGTATCTATCCAGGTATCTAGCAGCATTAAAGGTTGTATGGTTTTGTTGTTTTTATAATTTCATATATATTTCTACACTTTATCGGCTTGAGTTTATTTATCCAAAAAGTATCAGTTTTAGCAACTTGTTGTATTTTTAATAAATTTTTATCTAATAACATTGGTATCTAATAACATGGTAGACTAGTTAAGTATTTTGTGGTTTTCTATAAATATAATTTTTATTATATTTTATCATTTACATTTTAGTTTATTGTTTTTTGTTATTTTTGTTTAAAAACTCTATTTATATTTTGTTTAATATATTTATCTTTATATTTGTATATACATATATATATATATATATATATATATATATATATATATATATATATATATATATATATATATATATATATACTAGGTTGGTTGAAAAGTTCGCGGAGCGGAAATGAAAAAACAATTTTATGATTCAAAAAATGACTTTATTCTTCAGTATATTCTCCCTTAAGAGCAATACACTTTTTCCAACGATTCTCCAATTCATGTATCCCATCTCTGAAGTGCGATTCCGGAAGGCCTTCAAAATACCCATTTACGGCTGCAATGACTTCTTCATGTGATGAGAAACGCTTTCCACGTAGAAATTTTTTGAGATGTGGAAAGAGGTGGAAGTCGGACGGAGCCAGATCTGGTGAATAGGGTGGATGTTCCAAGCGTTCGTACTTTAATTGGACCAATTTCGCCTTTGCAACATCGCTGATATGAGCAGGTGCGTTGTCCTGGTGATAAATGATTTTTTTATGCAGCAAACCAGGTCTTTTCTCACGAATTTTTTTATCCAACTGGTCCAAAAGATTTTTATAATATTCACCTGTTATCGTTTTACCGGTTTGAAGGTAATCTATTAATAAAATTCCTTTCGCATCCCAAAAAACTGATGCCATAACCTTCTTTGACGATTTTGACGCCTTCACTTGCTTCGGAGCTGAACAACCGGGTTCTGTCCACTCTGCAGTTTGTTGTCGCAGCTTCGGATCATAGTGGTAAACCCAAGTCTCATCCATGGTTACGAATCGACGCACAAAATCTGTTTTATTCTTTTGAAAACGGGCCAAATGTTCTTGAGAAAGTTTTACTCGAGTGCGTTTCTTATCCAGAGTTAGCGAATGCGGCACCCATCTTGCCAACAGCTTTCTCAGACGTAATTCATCGTGCAAGATGTGTAATACCCGTTCATCTGAGATGCCCACAGCCTTAGCAATTTCACGTTTGGTCAATCGTCTATCATCCATAACCATGTCATGCACAGCATTAATCGTTTCTTCAGTAGTAGCACTTTTTGGACGTCCAGAGCGAGGGTCATCTTCAAGGCTTGAACGCCCATGTTGAAACTCCGCAGCCCATTTGCATACTGTTGTTTTTGAAGGAGCATCATCACCCAACACATTTACCATTTCATATAATTAGTCTAATTTCAATAGCTTGTAAACAAAGACTGAAATGACATATCGACTTGAAATTTTTTATGCGTTCATACGAAGAATGAATACGTTTAATACAGTTATAAATTTGTTTCTACTACTGCAACATAGGTGCCGCTCCGCGAACTTTTCAACCAACCTAGTATATATATATATATTATATATATATATATATATATATATATATATATATATATATATATATATATATATATATATATATATATATATATATATATACATTAAACCTTATTTTATCTACATTACATTATTGTTAACTTTTAACACTTTTAAAATCAACAAGATTATTGACATATGTGCTATTATACTAATTGCAGAGGTGATATTAAAATTATGGTAAAACCAAATGAGGTGTTTATATCCGTCTTCTGACAAAGATCACTACATAGAAATAGTAAAATTTTTTATTCAACCTAAAGGGAGGTCTAAAATGGATTAAAAACAGATCAAAGCTTAAGCTTTCTTTTTCAAAGCTTACGCTTTTTTTCTTTCTCAGATAAGATTTCTTTATTCATATATATATATATATATATATATATATATATATATATATATATATATATATATATATATATATATGTATATATATATATATATATATATATATATATATATATATATATATATATATATATATATATATATATATATATATATATATATATATATATATATATATATATATATATATATATATATATATATATATATATATATATATATATATATACAAATAAATATATATATATATATATTTGTTTTTGAGGACGAATGATTACAGTGACAAAGAAATGTCTGCGATGTCCTTGTAGATTAAGTTGTCATTTCATCTATTTTACTAAATTTTTAAGAATGTTTCTGATAAAGTTTGGATAGCTGACAATAAAACATTAATTTCTGATACATTTACTATAATTAATTTTTTTTCTTCTGTTTTATTCTCTCCAATTGTTTGTATTTTTATAGACAGTCTATGTGCAGGGAAAGCTGATGGAAAATACTTGATTCCTGATGTGTTTGCTTACTTGCAGTGTTCATCACAACAAGGAGGCTATGTAAACTGTCCAGATAATCAAATTTTTGATCCAAAATATAGTGATTGCAAGGATGCTAAAGACTATAATTTGAACAACTTTTGTACTAATAAACCTGATGGTCAATATCGCAACCCTTGGAACTGCCATACTTTTATTTCTTGTTCTAATGGTATATCACACAATATGTCTTGCGCAACACCAGTGTTAGTTTATGATCCTTATGACAATCTCTGTGAATATCCTTCACTTTTTCCATGTCGCACTGTTAATATGAGTGAGTATAATTTAAGTAATTTAATTTGGTAATTCATGATTTTTTTATAAATCTCTTTAACAAAGTATCAGTGTTTTTTATTTAAAATAATTTTTAAAAAATAATATAAAAAATGTCTTTATTGATTTTTAAGATAAAAATTCATTTAATTGTTGGAGCATTAGTAGCGAAATATAGTTATTTGTGCCAACCATGCATACAAATTAGGTTGTTTTTATAATATTGATACCAAAATAAACTGAAATTTTTGATCTGCTAGTTGAATACCGAATCCAAAACTGACATTTCAGTATTTTACTGAAACTAATACTGAAGTTTTGGCTTAACAAAACTAATTTTATTTGAAAATGTTATCAAAATGCAATTTTACCTTCATTGTTGTTGTTGTTGTTTTTTTTTTTTTTTGACATTTTATTTTTATCTTATATAATAATAATAAATCAATAGTCTTATATAATAACAAAAAAAAATTACTCATAGAAAAATCTATTAAAATCACTAAAAACTTACATTCAAGAAATATTATCCTTGTTCACTTTCTATTTAAACTATTTAAAACAAATTTGTTTAAACAAAATGTAATCAGTGCAAGATTCAAAATATTTTGTGCACTGCAATGGTTTGATTATTTTTGCACTGCAAATGTTTGATTTTTATTTAAGAAGCAGATATGCTGTTTCATAACTAAAAACTACAACAATATATATAACAGTAATATGAATAATAATATTTGTCTCCAATGTACTACCGTCTAATTTCTGTGAATCTTCCCAAACTCTAAATGTGCTTTTCATCATATAACTCAACAATATTATAAGCTGTACTAAATGCTCAGTTTCAATAGTTTTTTTATTATGCTTTTATTTTATGCTTTCGAAATTTTATACTTTTACATAAATCACTTTGTGTTGTTGCAGCATTATAATTGTCAACAATTTTTTGTTTGAAAACATTATTTTATTTACTATGTACCATCGTCATCTTTTATCTATAATTTTATTTTATGCTAAACAAGAATATGTGAAGTGTTTTATGTAACACAAGACTAATTATAAAAATATTATGTCTTCTTTAATAAAAATCACAGTTGAGAAATAAACAATTAATACAGTTGCTTTTTGATAACTTGTATTCCTCAGTTTTAAAATGTTACAATTTTTAAACTATTTTATATTCATCATCAGATCAGACATATTATCACCATGATCAAACTGCTGCTGGTAACATTTAACCCAGTGCAACCTGTAACATATCCTGCAGCTTTGTAGGATTCACTTTCTAAGCAACGGCTAGAAAAAGTGAAATTCCTGATATCAATACTATGTAATCTAATATCTATCATGTCTAAACTGATATTTATTTTTGTCTTTTATATAGCTCACACGTAGTTAACCATACATGTATGTTTGTATTCTGTTTGAACCTCTGGAGTGGTGTTTGCTCATTCATAAGTTAATATATATATTCATAGATGAGTTTTTTCCGGGAATTCCCGGAATTCCGGAAATTCACATCAAGTTTCCAGGAAATTCCGGATGCTTTTTGTTATTGATTTGTAAAAAGTTATATAAAATTTTAAATACGATATGGTTTGCATTTAAGCAATTATGTTTTCTATAAATGAAATTTTCACGAGATCAATTTTTTCAAAAAATTTTTTTCTTTTTAATTCATTCAAATTAACTTTTTCGGATATTAGAAATTTTTTTTCTTAAGAAGTTAATTGATGTAAATTCCGTTTTAAACGTTTGCAAAAGATCTTGTCGTTAAAAATTACTATCAAGAAGAAAGAAAAGAAAATGCAAGTTAAGAGTTTATCTGACATTTCTGAGATAGACAAAAATATTAAAAACAAGTTTCGCTGGAATTGGCTTTAAGAGAAAGACTATAATGATGAGCATTATTCAGCCTATATTACAAAGATAAATAAAGCCGGAGCAGTAAGTTTATTCTCTAACTGAACACTGAAATATATAACTTCATCATAGTTATATATTATTTGATTTGATGTTTTAGGTACGATGTACAATATGTAATAAAGACTTTTATTATGGAAGTGAAGGTAAAAAATCTTTACTCAGCCACTCAAAGTCTAAAATGCATCGTCAAAACTGCGCAATGATTAAGTCCAACGAAGCCATACCGTTGTCATTTTTTACTAATTTAAAAAAAACAGATATGTGTATATTGCCATATGGCACTCCGGATAAGGTGCATATTGGCAGTACTTGCACAAAGAGAGTAAAGCCTACCATTAAACCTATTGTAAGTTTTAGAGACAGGCATCAAATGCAGAAGCTATGACACTCGCATTTATTTGTGAACACAATCCTCCAATATCTTTAACATCCCATATGATTGAATACGCAAAGGAAATGTCTAAAGATTATCGTGTTTTAAAAAATTTGAAAATGTTCAGAACAACTGCTTTGTATAAGCTTCGAGAAGGATTAGGTGAAGCTTTTCATGCTGAGCTTGTTTTTGATATGAAAATAAAAATGTTCTTCCTTAACATAGATGAGTGCTTCTCGGCAAAAAATGAGAAGGTTCTCAGTATACTCGTAGCATATTTTTGCAACAAAACTAATAAAGTTGTATTAAAGCACTACGCGTCATTATCGCTTGTTACGGTAAATGCCAAAAGTCTTTTTAATGCTGTTATTGATTTATTTAACAAAAACGCAATTCCATTAAGTAATCTTGTTTCCAATTTATCAGATTCTACCAATTATATGATAGGAAAAATCAGTGGGTTTGAAACAAGGTTAAGAAAAGCGGTTCCTCACTTACTTGATATTGATGGTGATATTTGTCATCATGTGCATAATGTTGTCAAAAAATTTACTTCTTTTTTCGGCAAGGTAGTTGAAAACTTACTGGATGATATCTACATTGATTTTAAATATGGCCCAGATCTTCGTACATTTCTGAAAAAAATCTGTTAAATCACAGGTGTCACATACAACACTCCAAAGCAAAGGGTTTGTCATCGATGGTTATCTGTTTTAGATTGCACTCTTCCTATGCTTGAGATGATGCCTGCTTTCACCTTAATTTATTCTTCTTGGCTATCAAAACAAGACATCTCTCTGTATAAAGATGAAAGTGACAAAATTTTAAAGAGGCTATCAAATGAAAGTAAGAAACTAATAGAAAAAATAAAATGTAAAATGCAGCAGAAAAAACTAACAAAACAAGGTGCAGAAAGAAAAGCTAGAATTGTTAAAAGTTTATTTTTCCGACGTAATGAAACATTACTTTATATTAATTTGTACGTTGAAATTCTTCCTATTTTTAAATCATTCATTTTAACTTTTGAACAAAAAGAACCGTTAGTCCATCGAATTTATGATGAGCAAATTGAACTAGTGAAAACAATTTTAACTTGTTTTATTAAGCCAAAGATGATAAAAAATATAACAGAAGAAAAGTTGAAGTTTTTAAACCTGAAAGATAAAAAAATGTATCGCCATTTGAACTACATATACCTTGGAAGTAATGCTGAAAAATATTTGTCAAGAATACTTATTCGAAATCCTGATTTCAAATCATCGTTTTTAAAGACCTTGCTAAAAGCTTACCTTGAATCGTCAGTTTACTTACATAATAAACTACCCTTTAACAACCCTTTATTAAAATGCCTCTCTGCAATCGACCCAATGTCTCAAGGTCACGAAATTACAGAGAGAATGCTAAAAAAACTCTCAACTTTCTTTCCCTCTGTAGATATAAATAAAGTAATATTTAATCGAGAAGTTATGCAGCTTCAGATAGATATAGCGCTTCCACCCGTATTTGATGATGGGAATTCAGTACGTCTTGACTATTGGTGGGCTGAAGTTTTTAAGTGTAAAAAATATTTAGAGCTTAATAAGATTATCAAGGCATGCTTAAGTATTTTTAGTAGTCCTCATGTTGAGCAATCATTCAGCATGATGAACACCATAGTTAACAAAAAGACAAACCGTCTTGATACTTTAACGTACTCTGCTATAGCTTCAGTTAAGTATCAATTATTAGCAAACAAGACCACAGCAGTAGGGTACTTTAAAAGGCAAGATATATTGCATGATCCAGTTAACAAAAATATCTGTGGTCATTTGCAAACTGCAAGCAAACGCTATAATAAAAAAATGAAATTCCATCGGAAAAATAGAAAAGTTGAAGAAAGGTTTTTAAATATTAATTCAACGTCGAAAAAAAAAATTGTCTTACATGAACAGTGCAAAAAAGTTAAAGAATCTATTATTGATAATGCAAAAAAGTGCAGAAAAAGAAAAGCTGACAAATGCTTCACAACAGAAAATTATAAGAAAAAAAGTATTGATTCCTGACATTTATTCCATTGTCTTACATTTTATATTTTAAATATAAAGAAATTATTGCGCTTTGCAGGTTGCTTATGTTAAAACTGAGATATTATATTTCATTTTAGAGAAACATAATTAATGAGTAGTTTTTAGTTTCTTTATTTATCCCTTTACCAACGTTCCAGAATTTACCCACATACCTTCGTCAATTTATTGACCCTAAATTTTTCTGGGATTTTCCGGAATTTTCATGAAAATGACTTTCCGGGATTTTCCAAGATTTTCAAAGAAAAAAATTTCCGGGATTTTCATAAAGTCAAAAACTCATCTATGATATATATATATATATATATATATATACACATATATATATATATATATATATATATATATATATATATATATATATATATATATATATATATATATATATATATATATATATATATATCTGTGTGTGTGTTTATATTCTGTTTAAATCTCTGGTGTAGTGTTACCTCAGTTATTAACTAGTGGCAACGATGTTCTTAATTCTTAGTTTCCTGGATTCTTTTAGATGTAATGTTTTTCCAACTAAATTTCCAAAATCATCCATTCAATGTTTTAAAATAATGTTTAAAGAAGTTCTTTTACTAACTCCAGGTCAGGTCAGGTTCATGATTATCACAATCACCCTGTCATGGTTACGTACTACAGGCTCCATGTCCTGCTGACTTATAGGATTTGTTTTTCTAGGCAAAGGCTAGGAGATAGAAAATAATAATATAGGAAATAATCTCTGACTTTAAATTTCCCTGCCTTAGGGCTCTTGGTTACATAAAGGCTAGAGATGGTCTTTCAATAAAAAATCATCTTGGGCTGATGTCAACTGCATCTAACTACTGTTTTGTAGCTGGTCTTCTAGGCAAAAACTTTAGGGGTAACCAAAATAAATCTGTTAACCGGCCTCGAACCACTTTTTCATTTATAAGGCTAGCATAAATGTAAACCTGTGTTAGATTGTTTTCTGCCTAGGATGATGAATGCTGAATTCACTTGACTTTACTCAAACATTTTTGCTTGTGCCTCCTTCATAGTGGCTATACTACTCTTCCTATTATCTTGTAATGAGGATACAGCTGTAAAATCAGTCAAATGGTTCTAAAGCCAGCTGGTAAAAAGGTTTCTCAAACTCTGTGGTAGCTCTCAGAAAGGCTGATTTCATTAACAGCTGTAAAAAATCAGTGTATTAATGGTGCCATGTTGTGCACAGATGGTATTTCTGTTAGTTTTCTTTTTTAAATATACTTTAACTTAAATGATGACTAAAGTACCCAAAATTGTTAATATATAAAAAACCACTTTCACTGTCTAACCATTTTAATATATCTTTTACAAATAGCAGTGGTCTTTGAAGTAAGTTTCCATCAGTTGAATCTTATCTCTTGCTAAATTCTTTAGACTTACTTGCTCTTAGTGAGACTAATTTGAATTTGGCTGCTTTTTCTTCAGAACTCAGTATTGATGGCAACTATCCATTGATTTGCAAAGACTCTAATAGTCACATGGTTTGCTTGGGCATTATTTAACCTATTTGTCTTTTTATACTTGTGCATTAATTTACTTATTTGCATGAAATCAAGTTTGAACTCTCTGATTATTTTTTATACGCTTAGTACCTTTTTACTCAACCACATTTCACTTTGTTCTTATTTTTTTCCTTTTTCTCAAGGCTGCACTTTTTTAGATGTAATTTCTGATCAAATTGACCTGCTGGTACTAAATCTCATAACTCCTTTATCTCTTATTCAGACATTTAACTTAGTAGTAAACGGTTTTCATATGTAATCTACAAAACTCTAATTTAAGTCAGTATACTATTGTATACCAAGATTCTTAATTAAATCAACTAAATTTTCAGATGTTTGTATTTCCATAAATCAATTTCTTCATAAATACAAATTTTCAATATATCGTAATCAAGCAATGACTAATATATTAATTAAACCACATTTTTTAAAATGACCAAATTGGGCAATAAATATTTTTAAAGGTTTTCTTTCAAGAGCATATAAAATATGTTCAGAACAGAATATTCACAATTTGAAGTTGAGTTTCTAGTTAATATGATTTCCCAAACTAGACACTCATACAAACAATTTTCAGATATCATTGAAAATTATATATTATTACATAAAAAAACAAAAAATCAGCAAATAAACCCTGGAAAAAATATCATACTTTTGTGGATACCAAAACAAAGCATTATACTAAATAAGTGTTTTGTAGATTAGGTATAAAAATGGTTTTTTGCTATGGTAATTTTTTACTTGACATTTTATTTCACAATAAATTGATATTGCATCATAAGAGAAGCACAACTAAAGGCAACTGGGACACATCAGGTATAGTCGAACACTTGCAACATTGTAGTAGCACAGTTAACTGGGCTAAACCAAAAATAATTTGTTATGCCAAATAACTATGTGTAAGATTTTTGAGGCAATTAAGATACAGCATTTGAATGCTCAAGATTGTAGAAGAAAGTCTTGAATTACAATCAATTATTAATACAATCAAAATTTAGTGATAACACACTATTAGAGATCACTTTTTGTTAAACTAAAGTCTAAATCTGTTATGCTGCGATGACATATTTTTTTTTTTTAATTTTCTGAATTTTATAATGGTTTTTTAGTTTGATTATGGCTTACACCATATAATCCAAAATATCACTATAAAATAGTATATAACCAAACCTGAGATAGTTTTTTATTATTTATATATAAAATATGTTATTAATGATGCTACTTAAACAATATATATATTTAGTTATGTTCTCAAAGTTTGGTTGATTCAAACCGTAGAGAAAACTATACTAAACAAATTTTTTTTTCCCATTTCACTTTTTTTTTATATCACGCCTTATATCATTGTGATATCACCCAAAAAAAAATTTTTTTAATATACCACCCATTTGGCTAAAATTTATTTTTTCACTATATTGTATCAGCATCAACATATTAATATATTTTTCAATATATTTGTTTATCCACTGATTTTCATATTATTACTATTATTAAGGAATTTTTGAGTTATATTATCTTGTATTCTTTACTCAACTTTGTTTTATTTTTCACATGCACAGTTTTTGTCTTTTATTACTATTTAGAAAATTTCTTATATCTTTCAATACATGTTCAAATTTTTTCATTTTTGCAGGTAACATTAAATGATTTTTGTGCAATGTTTTTTCCACTATCGTATATTAATTGATTTCTGTGAAGACTTCAGGTTGCGCGGGTTGTTCATTTTCTTACACTTTTGATTGGTTAATATTATTTGAATGAGATATCTTTGACACCATCTGAGTTTAATGGAGACTATTGTGTTTTGTTATTAAAAAAAAAAAATTATAAGGTATTATGCTTTCTGATTGTCTTGGGTTTATTTATGCTAAAAGTACCTATTTGGTATTAATTGTCTTAAAAAGAAATTTATTATTATTTTTTGTTTGCATACTTGCTCAAGTTGTTTAAGTTTTGTTTTGGTGTTTCTATTAGAATTTTTATTTATTTATTGTGTTTTCATAATTACTTCCAGTGGTATGGTATGTGATTTATTTAGTTATTTTTATTTTTATTGTACAGTAGATCTACACTTTTATCATATTATCATAAAAATATTTTTGTGTTTTATAAATTTGGGTATGGTTCGGTTTTGGCTATTTGTAGTGAGTCCTTTTTTACTGCAGTATAGAATAGGGGTAAGTCGCATGGAAAAGCATAAGTGTAGATGATGTTGATGGGATAAACTAGTTATTAGTGCTAATCATCATCACCAGTAATAATAGACGCGAGTCTGAGGAGGTCATATAAGCAATAATGTTTTTTTTTTCCATTCTTAGGCCTTGTTGTTGTATGTATACTTTTTATTTTGTATTCAATACTTTGTTTTGTAAGTTTTTGTTTGGTGATATATTTGTTGTATATCTTTGTTCATTTTATAAAAAAATTTATTTTTAATTTTTGTAAGTATTGTTTGGCTGAATTATCTGTCTTATATTTGTCAAGGTATTAGTATATTTTTAAATATTCTTAACTTAATCTTTATTTTTGTTATGAAAACTTTCAAAATATACTTTGTTCAAAAAATAAGTCTCTTTTTTTTTAATGTACTTCATTTTCCCCTCAGGCGTCAACTGCTCATGTGTGGCCATTCAGCAAAATTATATGCAGGCCTTGACACAATTAACACAACTGTAAACAACATTCCAGGCGAGAAAAATAGTACTTGCTAGTTTTATTGTGAGAGTAAAAAATCGTTTCTTTTAGAGTACATGCATAAATAAATAAAATCAGTAACAACGATATATGAGTTAGATCAAGGAAAAACACAAGAAAACATGTTTGTGCTGCAAAAAGCAATTAGAATTAAGTAATGTATATGAAAATTTTAGAATTAACTAATGTATATGAAACTCCATTTTCAGGTCCTAAATACATTGTTGTAATAATTCTTGAAATACCTGCCATAATAATGCCTACCCATTATAATATAAATCCCTGCCATAAAAATGTCAACCCATTTTTTATGATATAAAAAATATTTTATATTTTCTTATTATAACAGAATGTAATTGTAAATGTAATTTTTGTCAAATAAGCTTAAAAGAGCCTCATAAAAGCGATTAGCAGCTCTTTTGGGAGACATGTGATAGTGTTTTGAGAGATATGTGATAGTGTTTTGAGAGACACGTGATAGTGTTTTGAAATACATGTGTTAGTGTTTTCAGTGACATATGAGGAAAATGTTGAGGAAACTCTTTGTGAGTTGTGATAGTAATGTTGTTTATGAGTCATTAAGTAACCTTGCTTGTAGGCTAAATTAAGTCATAAATGCAGCAAAAACAGGTACTACAGGAAAGCTAAAAATGCCAAGTATTTCCTTTTCTATTGAAGCCCCTTCTGAATTTGTTAAGAATTTTAAAGAAATAATTGGATAACAATAATAAATTAAAATGAATATTATTAGTTATAAATTAAATTTATATGTTTATTTAATTTTTGAATTCTTTTATCATCGAGTTTTCTTTAACTTTTTAAAATTAAGTTTTTTTTTTTCTAATATATAGAAACCAATATTGATGTTAAGATTGGAGATATATGCACAACACTTTCAGATGGAAACTATGCAACACGTAATGTGTTTCAGATTTTAAAATGCAAGAATCACAAATCAAGTATGGTTGACTGTCCAACTGGAGAAATTTATATCCCTGGTGATGAAAGTTGTTCAAAAAATGTGAACTTAGGTATTTAAAGTTTTCCTATTTTCAACATATGGAAAATGTTTTTGAAAATATTAAAAATATATAAGTTTGATATTTTCTATTATCTATTTGAATAAAAAAATGTTATAGATAATTTTTGCAAAACTCGAGCTGAGGGTAACTGGCAAAATCCTTGGGATTGTCATACATTTTTAACATGTCACGGACAACAAACAACTGTACGAAACTGCTCCGCACCATCAGTTGTTTTAAATTATGATCCTGTTACAGACGTCTGTGAATATCCATATCAGGTTGACTGTGTTCAGATAAGTAAGTATATACTAAATTTGTTTTGTTTGAATTTATATAAATTTTTATTTACATGTATGTGTATGTATGTGTATATAAATATATATATATATATATATATATATATATATATATATATATATATATATATATATATATATATATATATATATATATATATATATATATATATATATATTTATTTATTTATTTATTTAAGTTAACAACAAACAACAAAAAGAAAAAAAGATCTAAAAACAGCTGCCTAATCACCCATATCAAATTTTGAATGAAGAAATTTGCTTTTATGTATTTTATGTATATACATTTTGATTGCAATCACCTTTCTAGCATTTTAAAGCAACTTCCTCATTCTATAGGGTTAAGTCTGTCAACTAATTCATCTAATGAATCTATTTTTTATATTCTGCCAATTTGTTTCAGGATGCATTAAAATAGTCTGGTTACAAATTTAAACTTAATAAATTTGACCAATTGCAATTATGTTGAGAGTCTTTCATCAAAAAAAATTGTCATTAAATAGTTCCAGAAATTACAAGAAATCTTTCTAATTAAACATTTCATCTTCCACTGTAGTATATTTTGAACAAAAATATAATTTTTGTAACTTCGCTTTCATTTAAATTTACACAGAACAGTAAGTTATTTAAAAAAAGATAATAATGATGTAATGATTTTATTCACAGTTGGTTTAACTATTCAGTTTCCATTCAGTTTTTTTTTCAAAAATTGTTGAGTGAAAAATTTATAGGGTGTTAATTGAAAAAAAAAATTTGTGAGAAAAGAAGTAGGCAAAATATCCATGGGCAAGTTAGTTCATAGTATTTATTACAGAGAAAAAATATTTTTATAAAATTATTTTTTTCTTTCACTATTTTTTACATTTTTTTAAAAAAATTAAAAAAAACTTTTAGGGGATTTTTTTACATACAAAAAAAATGCTACTGTTTTGGCTTATTACACAAACTATTATTTGCTAACAGTTTAAAGTAATATTAAATTTTGGGTTTAAAGTTGTTGTCAAAATAATTATTAAAAAAAAGTTATAAATTTTGCACTTAATAAATTTAATTCATTATGAGAAAAAGATTAGTTACTAAATTCATTATATAAGAAAAGATTAGTAACCAAGTTCATAATAAGAGAAAAGATTAGTTACTAAATTCATTATAGAGGAAAAGATTAGTAACCAAGTTCATAATAAGAGCAAAGATTAGTAACCAAGTTCATTATAAGAGAAATGATTAATTACTAAATTCATTATAAAAGATAAGATTAGCTACCAAGGTAATAATAAGAGGAGAAATTAGTAACCAAGCTCATAATAAGAGGAAAGATCAGTAACCAAGTTCATTATATGAGAAAAGATTAGTAACCAAGTTCATTAAAAAAGAAATGATAAGCTGCCAAGAAAATAAAATGTTGTTAGATATTTTAAAAGCAATGTTCTTAGATATTTTAGAAAAGGATAAAAATGATTTTTTTCAAAAACAAATTCAGCCTTTATAAATAAAAATCTAATGCTAATCATATTTTAATTTTAAAATTAAAGAAAGCAATTTGTTTACTTTTCACTCTTCCCCTCCCCCATCTTCCTACTCCCTTTTCACTTTAAGCATTATAATACTGCAGTTAGAAAGAAATGGTTTAATATTCTCAAAAGTTGTCACACCATGTCAAACTTTATCAAGAACTTTATCTTATCTCCTCGCCTCTATCTAATGCACAATAAAATCTTTTAGTTGCATCATATGAAAATCCAAATCGGTATTGATAGTCAGAGAGTAGGTTATTAAAATCAAGATAAGATGTTAAAAATTTTGTTGATTAAATACTTAAAGATCTCGCTAATAATAGAGAGAAGACTGATTGGATGATAGTTGGAGAGAGAAGACTGATTGGATGATAGTTAAAGAGAGAAGACTGATTGGATGATAGTTAAAGAGAGAAGACTGATTGGATGATAGTTAAAGAGAGAAGACTGATTGGATGATAGTTGGAGGGGTCAGAGTGTTCTCTAGAGTTTTTTCAAATTTGGAATCACAAATGCTGTTTTCCAGAAGACTGGAAAACATGATTCAGTTAAGTACTATTAAAGTAGTTTAAAGAGAATTGAAGATAGTTCTGGAGAACACAAGTTAAAGTTTTAAATATGTGTGTTCCTATTATTTTTGCTTTAATTAAGTTAAAAGTGCAACTATAAAAGTATTTCGTAATTAAAAAGTTATAAAAGTATTGCATAATTAAAAAGTTATAAAAGTATTGCATAATTAAAAAGTTGTAAAAGTATTGCATAATTAAAAAGTTGTAAAAGTATTGCATAATTAAAAAGTTGTAAAAGTATTGCATAATTAAAAAGTTGTAAAAGTAATGCATAATTAAAAAGTTATAAAAGTATTTCATAATTAAAAAGTTGTAAAAGTAATGCATAATTAAAAATTATAAAAGTATTTCATAAATAAGAAGTTATAAAAGTATTGTGTAATTAAAAAGTTGTTTCATTTTTAGAAGAAATCTTTTTTGAAGGTTAAACTTTGTTTTTAAAAAGTTATAAATTGGAAATATAAAATTAAAAATTTAATTAGCTTTTTAAAAACTATTAAAGCTCTTTAATTCTTTGTTGTTGTTGCTGTTTTTTTTAATTTTTTTTCAACATGTTTTGTCATGAACTTATTAAGTTAGTTTTAAAATAATTATGTCGAACTATTTTTTTAAAATTCTCAATAAAGACCTTTTTTTACTTTCAAGGCGCTCACTAAAGTATATTAATGAATGATCTTTTTTTCTTATTTTCATTTTTTTATAGATTTTTTCTTTACTACCCAGTAAATTGTTCTTTGCCCTTTTTAAGTTCCATAACTCAAACGATTCTTTTAATATTGTTAAAACAAGAATAATAAATGTAGCATTCACTTGTAAAAAATTTTTTGCTATGTGTTGCAATTAGCTTTAATATCAGCAAATAGGAAGTTTGATTTTTTAACAGCCTTCTAAATGAATTTAATATGTTTCAAAGGAGAATAGTTAAAATATCTTCTATTTTAAAAAACGATTGCAGGTAGTTTTTAATAAATTTTCAAATACAGAAAAATGGTTCCAACAGTGTCCATTTTGCTAAGGAAACTGTTGTTATATTTGCATAGCTTTATACCATATATAAGATTTGGAACTTTCAATGAGTTACATAAATAAATTATTTTTGATGGCTGGCATAAAAAATTTTCCTATGTCAATTAGAGCTATTGCAACAGTTTGAAACTGAGTTATTTGCTCATCTAAGTTAAAAACCTAGATGTTTTAACTTGTTTTGAAGATATTTTTAAGTTTCGTTAATTTGAATAACATTGTTTGAACTTGTTCCAGATATTAGAAAGGCTGCAACAACCACTATTAAAAGTTACTGGAAAACAAAAAATAGAGTTATAGAACAAGGAAAAGGTTGACAGAAGATTTAAAAAGTTGTAGGTTGTATAAGTCAGAAAACATGAAGGGTGAGAGTTACAAAAGGTTGAAGTGTGGGAAAAAGAAACGAGATGGATAAAAAAAGTTTAGAGGATATAAGGGCAGATACAGTAAAAAGATGATAGCTCTTGTGAGCAGCAACCATGATAGTATTTGCAGAAAAGTAAAAAAAAAAAAAATGCGGCATTACAATGATGGGAGCTTGTCAGATAGAGAAGGTTGAACAACGCTTGCAATGTGTTTTTGACCTTTTTAAAAAAGAGAAAGACCGTCATAAGAATAACCAGTCTTAATATAAAAACATTATTCTATACAGGTCTTAATATAAAAACATTATTCTATACAGGGACAAATTAGAGATTTGAAGATTTAAAGAATGGAATCAGGAGTAAAACAGTTGCAAGCTTTCGTTTATGTACTTTCGTTTAGCACCATTTCACTATATTGCCTTTCTCTTTGTTTTATATTTCACTCTCTATCATGACTGCACTCTTTTAGATGTTATTTTTGTTCAAATTGACCCAAGCCCTTTCTCTTTATACTTCAGCCAATACTGTTTTTGTTGGTGACTTAAATGCTCATCACACCTAATATTTTGGCTCTAGTGTCAGTGACTCTGCAGGTGTTAAGGTCCACAACTTTCTCAATCTCTAACACAAACAGTCAACTTTCTGAATCGCTTCTCAGATTCCGAATCATTTATCTTCTTTACTTGACTTATGTCTTGTTTCTGATTCTAGTCAGTGTTCAGTTTCTCCACATTTACTCTTAGGTGCTTCTGATCATGGTTTGATCTCTCTAAAACTACTATCTCATTCTTCTTCATCGTGAGAATTATCTTCATCATATGAATTATTATCATCATACCTCTTGCAACTGCCTTAAAGCCGACTGGGACTCTTTCCTTGATTTTCTTTGTGATGGCACTTAGATAGAAATCTTTTGCCTGTCTGCTGACAAATTTGCTACTTATGCAACTTCTTGGATTCAAGCTGGCATGGAATCTTTTATTCCCTCTTGACAATTCCAAAGTCATACCTCACTCTTCTCCATGTTTTTTCTCACATTTTGCTGCAATTTCCAATTGTAACCATTAGAAGGTTGCTCCTTTATCTAATAATTCATGAAAGTGAATTATTAGATTAAGGAGCAAAAAAAAACTAGGACCCTATTATTACCCCAAAAAAGTTTTTAATTAATAAAAGAATTTTTTAAGTATGTCATATGGGTATGTCAAAATTTTTTTTTTGTAAAAAAAGATTTTCAAAATATTTCAAAACAATATTTTCTATTCTGCTTTAGACTTTTTTCAGATATTTATTATAAATTTTTTTGTCCTAAAATGATTTTTCACGCCAAAATATCAAGACAACAACTCTGTTGTTTTCGATGTTGTGAAACATTGTTTTCAATTATGACTACTCTTTTCCTTTTAAACTCAGTTTAAAACCCCCTGATCTGTTTCTCAAAATTAATTAAAAAATTGTTTTGGGATGATTGAACCTTAAATGAACATGATCAACTAAAGTTCAACCAGTATTTTGTCTTATATTTTATACACGCTTTTATAGGTTTATAGTTTTGTTTTATACTCACTCTATATTTAATTTTTTTTCTAGAAACACGTCCCTATGAAGAAGTTTTTGTTGAAAATGTGGTAGTGTAGAGCTGAAGAATAACCATTAATAATAATAAATAATTTTTATAAATAATAATTATAGTAATCATAATAATTTTATATTTGTGTAATAAATAATATCATGCAATGAAAAATTTTGTATAACAAATATATGTGTATTATAAATTATTATTATTTTTAACAAGGAGTATGTGTTTGTTGGAATAAAAATTGTATTGGCGTCTTTTTGGAAATGTCCAAGTTTATATTTAAATATTAACATAAACTTAAATTTATTTATTATCAAATATAAATATTAACATGAACAAAAGTGCTAAGAGTTAAAAGGGTTTTAACACTGTTAAGGATTTTTTTAATCAGTTTTCAGTGTTTATTTTCGAAAATTTATTACCGTTTGAAAATGACTAAAATAAAACTAATAGCACCAGACCTTATAACAGAACTATATAAGTTTAATTATAAGAAGAACAATAATATAATAAGAAAAACCGTTTTTAATTATTGTTTTTACTGCTACAAGTTTGAAACACATGATTTAATACTATCAGTTGGAGACTTTAAACCCTATCAAATTAAAGGGTGAAAAGAGAATTATATGGTCATAATTTTCAAACTTATATGGTCATAATTTTTAAACACTAACTTTAGTTATTTAAGTTGTTTAAAGTATATATCATGTACAAAATAAATAAGAAAATAAATTACTGGAGCAAGCAGAAGACATAAAGTAGCCTTATCACCATGCCCCATTTTACGAAACGCATATTACAAATGCGTAGCATAAAAAGTTTCAATTTTTCGAAAATTTTAATAGGATATTTTTGATACCACTAAACCACAGTTCAGCAATTCTCGATTTTTGTGTATAAAATGTTTTTTAACTTATATCATTTTGGTAAAAAAAAGGATATTTTATTTAGGATGAATCCCGGTGGGAAATGAGCGAGCGACATAGCAGTTTTCAAGCGATTCTTTTTTTCTTATTTTATTTTTTGCAAAAGTCTTAAATATCTTTAAAATTTTTTTTTTTAGTGTTGAGTCTATTATAAATATGAGGATAATTGAACTTTAAATATTGCGATTTTTTAGCAATGTGTCGCTAGCTACATATCGTAGCTTTGTAGCTAGCTATAAAATATCTACAAATCTATAGCTGGTTATTAGCTACACATCAAAAATTTTTAGACAACGATTTTATTACGATATGACGCTAGGTACAATAGCCAGTGGATCTTCAGCTTATTAAGCTAGCTGTCCTTGTAGCCAAATCGCTGCACAGTGGGCCAGTAGGTGGACAAAATGAAAAATGAAAATTTAGTAGTCTAATATTAAAAAATTATTTAATTTTAGTATTTACATATATTATGAGAAATTTATTGATTAATTTACCAGGACTCTAAGCGTTTGAATATTGAAATTAAAGAAAAATATTAAATAAGTAATTTACGGTGACAGTAACGCTGTGTTATATTTCAATCGCATCTACGTTTTTGAAACAAATAATTAATACATGTTATTCTAGAGTATTTAGATATAAGAAAAATTAATGTGTGAAATAAATATGTCATACCATGTTATCTCAGTTATACTTTAAAAATGACTGATTAAAAAAAAAATCTTCATTTTTTTTTTTAATCAGTCATTTTTCAAGTATTTTAAAAAGTTTAATTTTTGCCGCACTATAACTAATAATTACCATATTTTGCCATGTGCTGTCATATTCATTTAAGCTATATAATGCTTCAATCAAGTTTTAATTGATTGCTCGTCCCCTTAAATCCCCGTTCAGATTTTATATATGTTTTAACTTGGTTGTTATGGCACTGAATTTTGCATAGCAACAGCTATTAACGTTGTTTTAACTAGGGTTGTTAACTGGAGGATTTCGTGCAATTCCGGAAAAACAACATTCTTTCGTAAGGAGATTGAGAACGAGGAATTACATTTTTTCGTACCGAATGTTACAAAACATTTAAAATTGCCGATGTTCATTTCGCAAAAGTTACATCCGAAATTTAGCATTTCACAAGTTGAGATACGAAACAAAACTATTTTGCCACATACAAAAGTAGCGGTCTCGGAAGTCGCACTTGCAAAACAAACATTTTCGCCAAACAACGTTTTGAAGTCAATAAAGAAAATTTGTTTCCCAGACTGATTTTAATTGTAAAAATTAAGGGGTATACTCCCCCAGAAATTTTTAAAAAATCAAAAAAAAAAAAAAACTGATTTAAACAATTAAATATATGGGGGTTTCAGAAATGTTAATTGTTTTACCTAAAAATATCTCTAAATACCAAAATTTTTTGTTTTTGGGAGTTAGGTACAAAAAAGAGAAAATTATTTACCCTAAAAAAATCACTTGTAAACCATACAACGTATTGATTTCACAAGTTAAAAGCATTTTTGGCTTCTTGTTAGACTTGTTAGCACTTTATTTTTGGTATATAAAGACAAAGTTCGTTTTGTTGTTTTGAAGCTTATTTTTTGTCCCAGAAATTTTAAATTTTTTAGTTTTCAGACATGGTTAAGGCTGATCGAATTAAAGTTAGAACTAAGCGAGCAGGCAAAAGAAAGAAGATTTTTAATAGAAAAGTGATAAGTAGCAGTGTGAGTGTAAATAATGTAAATTTTCCTTCTTTAAGTGTAAATATCGAATCACCTGTAAATAGTCAAACTGATATCTTCGATACGCCAAGCTCTTCTCTTCGCAAAGTTGAAGCAGTCATTAGCTCATCTCCACAAAAATATACCAATACTAAAAACAAAGTTCTGACAGGATATAGAATTATTGATTGTTCAATTTTGTCTGATGTTATTAGCGTTTTGAGCTGTCCGACTTGTTTCCAAACGACTTTAGCAATCATTGAAAACAAAAGCAAAAAGCAAGGACTTGCATGTGAACTTTCTATTATTTGTTTAAAGTGTAAATATCAAAATAACTTTTACACTTCTAAGTTAGTTAATAATAAAGGAAACTTTGATATAAACAATCGAACAGTATATACAATGAGGACTCTTGGATTAGGACATTCCGGAATTGAAAGGTTTACGACCCTCATGAACATGCCAAAACCAATGACGCCAAAAAACTATGACAAACTTGTTTTAAAAATTACTAATATTATAGAGGAAGTTGCACACGAAACAATGGCTGATGCTGTATCTGATTTAAGACTACAGTGTCAAGACAATAATGAGATTCTTGATGTTGGTGTATCATGTGATGGCACGTGGCAACGTAGGGGATTTTCTTCATTGAATGGTGTATTTGCAGCACTTTCAATGGACAGTGGGAAAGTTTTAGATGTTGAGGTGGTGAGTCGAGTATGCAGAGGGTGCTCCTTAAATCAAAAACTTTCTGAAAAAAATCCTAATGCATACGCCGAGTGGAGAAATTCCCACATTTGTAAAATGAATTATGTAGGTTCTGCAGGTGGAATGGAGTGCGAAGGAGCCAGTCGTATTTTCCAGCGATCGATTAAAAAGCATAAGTTGCAGTACATTAACTTTTTAGGTGATGGAGATAGCAAAAGTTGCAATAGTGTCAAGGATGTTTATCCTAATATTAAAGTAAATAAATTAGAATGTGCTGGCCACTATCAGAAGCGTGTTGGAACCAGACTCCGGAATTTGAAAAAAAAAGTTAGGGGACTGGGCGGTCGTGGTAGATTGACAGATGCAACAATTGATCGATTGCAAAATTTCTTGACTTGAGCTGACTTTGCTGAAGTTTGGTGTTTATGATGCTGTTGCCAATTTTAACATTGGGATGAAGTCTTCAATTCTAACATATGAAAAACTGAACATGGTTCCAGGTTTTTATACACTAAACGGTTCTATCGACATAAATAAAACACGCATTAAATCGTCGATCTATAAACTAAACTCCCATAACAAGTTACATCGTCAAAAGTTAAGGGCTAAAAAACTGAAGAAAAGTGACAAAACCTCTGAAAAAGAAAGTAAAACATATGAAGGAGGAGGTTTTTAATATTAAATATAGTCCAATATATAATGTTACGTATATTTGTAGACCTTTTATTGTTTATTTTCAATTTTTATGCGTTTTCTCAGTTCGAGGTTTTTCAATATGCCGGCCAAAATTCCAAGAGAACCGCTTAAGCGTTTTATCTGAAATTTTCAACATATTTTCCTTTTTATAAAAGCTGTGTTTTAAACGGAACAGAATTTTGAAATACTTATGAACAAAACAGTATAGCTAATTTAATTTTTCAAAAAATGCACTTTTTTCTATTGTTAACTTTAGATCACAAGTCTTCAGGCCCAAAACTTTAAAAAAAAAATCTGTTTCGTTTAAAACACTCATAAACCTATTCTAATTGTGTTTCCAAAGTTTTGTTCAGCCTTTTTTATTAGTTTTTGCTAAAACTTGGCCAGCGCAAATCTTATTTTCTGCTTATTTTGGGGGTTTTTTACGGTTACTGCAGAAACCGTTGACCAATTTTTTTTTTTTTTTTTTAATTTTCTACATTTATGATATGGATAATCATTTTATGTCAAATGTTGTTATTTATTGTCTAAATTTAAAAATGGGGGAGTATACCCCTTAACATCTTTAAATCCCAAAATGTTTATAATGAATTTTTATTTTCAGTATAATAACATATTAAATTTTTATGGTTTTATTTTTAGAAACATTGATAAAAAATAAAATTTCTTTCGAAACGAAAGTATTTCGGATCACAACATACGAAAGAATTCTTTACGGAAATAAACTTACGAAACGTGCCATAATAAATATATATAGCGATGTTTTTTGAACTCATTACGTATAGTAAAAATAAGAATGATGGGTAGGAATATACATGTTGTTGTTTTTTAAAACATATGAAATTTTTGAAATAGGTTCGAATATGTTTAAGCAAATAGTAAAAAGAGGCTCAAAAATATGCTTTAGCTTGAGCATATTTCTAATAAAATATACCTATTTCAATAATTTCTAAAAGTGTGCACGTTACTTAAGTTCTAGCAGATTTTAAATGCATGTAGAGTCCTGTTTGAATACGCTTTTCGAAGTATAGATCTTAGAAAATATTGTTTTTTAATTTTGATAGGATATAAATTTAAGTATAAGATCGTATAGTTCAATCAGTTAGATATGTGATAATTCGCCGTAGAGATCCGAGTTCGCATCCCGCAGCCATTGTAACTTTTGTTCATTAAACTCTTTTTACTTAAGATAGCATTTTTTGACCTCCATGTTCTATATTACAGATCTTTCGTCACCTTCATAATAGTGGCAACCTC